AATTGCCATCACCTTGAGTTGGGTTCGGGTCGCCTTGTGCCCTTACTGGTCAATGTAGATTTCCTGTCCCTCGAGGCGCCTTGTCACTTTTCCCAATGCCCCCAATTCCCCATGCCAACAACTTCGCGTCATTCCCCTGGCCCAAGGAATCCCCTACACCCGAATGGCATAACCCCAACCTACACCCTTCTACACCCATTCTAGCAAGCAACAGAATATATTGTTCTTTGCCACTATATTTGTTGACAGCCGTCACAGAGCGAGAGTACGGCGGCGACGTCATGCTCTGTGGGTGATACCTTGATGTCAGTCTGTGTGTTACCCTGGCCTCGTCCAGCAGTGCCTGAAATTCCCCTCTGAATTCCGTCCCTTGATCAGTAAGCACTTCCCCTGGTGCTCCAAACCTGCACAGTACCTGTCCCTTGAACGCTTTTGCCACGTGCCTGGAATCTTTGCTGGGCAACGCACACACCTCCAGCCACTTGCTTGCGTGTTCCACTATGAGCAGTATATACCGCTTGCCTCCCCTGCTCAGCGGTAGCTCACCAGCTATGTCCAGAGACCACCTGAACCCCAACCCTCTTATCGGGAGTGACTGCAGCTCCAGCTTCGCCTGTGTCAGACTGGCCTTACTCCTCTGACACCCTTCGCATCCACTGACCCATTCTCTGACCTGCCTTCTCATTCCCTCCCACCACCAGCCTGTCTTCAACAGTTCCGTTGTGCGCTCGTGCCCAAAGTGCCCCAGCTTCCTGTGCACTTCTTTAATCAGTCCCTCCCTTTCCTGTGGTGCAGGTATCAGTTTCCACCCGTCCGCTGACTGCAACTGCAGCTGCCCCTGATACCATCGGTAATGGTGTCCCCTCGCCCTCACCCTGTCAGAGACCTGCTCATCCTCATCGGTTTCTCCTTTAATCCATCGCAGCACTGCTGGATCTTCCCAAATGTCCTTTGGTCCCTTTTTCTTCCCTGCTGCTGCCTCCTCCCCTTGCCTCGCCAGCATCATCAGCGTGTGCACTGGCTCTGCTGCCGGCGGGTTCCTTGAGAGCCCGTCCACATGCTGCAGGGTCTTCCCCGGCCTGTGGCGTATCTTAAAGTCGTATTCTTGCAGCGTCACGGCCCAACGCGCATTCCTCCCTGTCAGCCCTTGGTGTGTCATCAACCATTGCAGGGGCTGATGGTCTGTGATCCGTGTAAACTCCCTCCCCTGCAGGTATACCCTGAAGTGCTTCACAGCCCACACGGCTGCCAACCCCTCCCCGTGGTAGGAGCTGTACTTGGCTTCCGCTGGGCTGCAGCTCCTACTTGCGTACGCCACCACTCTCTCTTCCCCGTCCAATTCTTGACACAGGATGGCGCCCATGCCTTGACTGCTCCAGTCGGTATACAGGCAGAAGGGCTTATCGGCCCTAGGTAACTGCAGGATTGTTGCCGTCTGTACCGCCTCCATCAGGTCCTTCAGCGCTGCTTCCTGTTCCATCCCCCATTCCCACTTCCTATCCTCCTTCAACAACCCGTTCAGCGGTGCGGCCCGCTTGCTGAAATTCGGGACGAGCCTGCGGTAATAGCTCAGGAATCCTAGTACCGCCCTCAGTCCGCTCCTGTCCTTTGGCTGCTGCAGCCTGTTCAAGACCTCAATCTTCGCCTGCTGAATTCCTAACTGCCCTCCCCTGACCTCATATCCCAGGTAGTGCACATTCGCCTCTCCCCACCTGCATTTCTTTGGATGGCATGTTAGCCCAGCTGCTGCTAACGCCTTCAGTGTCTGCTCCACATCTCTCACGTGCTCGTCCTCCGTTCTGCTGAAAATCACTACATCGTCTATATAACATGCCGCACACTCCAGTCCCCTCAGCACGCTATCCATCACTCTCTGAAAGATGGCCGACGCATTTCTCAGCCCAAACGGCATGAATAGCCACTCGTACAAGCCATCTGCCCCATGGAACGCCGTCTTGCGCACGTCCTCTTTCCTTATCCTGATCTGGTTGAACCCCTGTCTCAAGTCTAGTGTGCTGAAGATCTCCCCTGCCCCCAGTCGGTCAAAGATATCCTCCGCTGTGGGCATTGGGTACCTGTCGGGCACTGTCACTTTGTTCAGTGCTCGATAGTCCCCACATATGCGTCTGCTCAGCACTTCCCCTAGCAGGTCCTTACGGGCAGCTACCACAGTAGGTGTCGCGTACTCTGATTCTGATCTTTGTATCAGCCGTGCTTCCATCAGCTCCCTGCATTTTTCCTTGCAAATGTCCTCATCTCCAGGTGTCATCCTCCGCTTCCTTTGGAACACCGGCTCGTCCGTCACCAGCCTTAACTCCATCTCCTTCACAGAACACTTCCCCAGCTCCTGTAAGGTGAAGGCGAAGGCGTGCCTGTACCTTGCCAGCACCTCCTGCATTGCCTCCTTTCCTTTCTCACTCATTGCATTCCCCACAACCCACTTTGGCTCTTCCTCGGCTGCCATGCATGCCCATGCCCCCACCTGTTTCACCCTTGTCCCCTCACTCCCTTGCTCTTTTTCCTCTTCCAGCACTAACCCTCTCCACATCCGCCGCACTAGCCACAGCATAACCTGGCCGTCCATGGCTTGTCCTAATGCCCTCCTCCTCTCCCTTTCCGTCACCCCTACTGCCTTTGTTACCTCCTCTCCGTACCCCATTGCCAATTCCCTTTCCAACGCAGTTGGCTCCTCCCATTTCTTCATCGTGCTGTCGTACACCATGCCTTCCCCTGGCATCCCGTCTTCCTCTCTGAACCCTGCTGCTCCCTCGTATCCCACTAAGGTCGGCCAGGCCCTCCGCTCTGCCCCCACTTTGTTGCACGGGCACTGTGTTTCATGCCTGCCCTTCCTGACAGGCGCTGCTGTCCTTCCCGGTTCTAAAATCTCTCTCACCGTCCTGCCCCAATCCCTTCGTATCCCGTCCAGTTCCTGCTGCAGTTGCTCATCTGCCACAATATTCTGCCAGTACCGTCGGACACGATGCGCCCGTGCCCCCAGCCTAGCCGCATCACATCTCACCCCTTTCCCTAGCTTCCTTGTCACCAACTCCTGTACCTTCCTCACCGGCTCCCTGCAATCCCCTTCCAAATCCAGGTGCTCCAGCAGGTACACCACTTTTTCTTGTCCCTCTTTAATCCAATCTATGATGCACAGCAAGTTCACAAGCAGCGCGCCTCTTGGATCGCTCAGCCCCTTACCTTTTCCTGCTCTCGACACGGCTTGACACTCCCATCCTGCCACCAACAGGTCCACATGCCCCCAACCTCTTACTATCTCCCGCGTGATGCTTCTTACATCGGTCAGGCTCCCCTGCATGGCCTTCTCTATCACTGCCTCATCCAGTAACTCAGGATACTCCTGCTGCAGCTTTCTCGCATGATGTTCTGCCATCTTCCTCACTTTCTCGTTACTCTCCACATATATCCACTCCTTCACTGCCACCCCTGCCTTGAGCAGTGCCGCTAACCCTGCTCCGATTCCCCCAAACAGTTCTACTAGCTTTATTGGCTCCTGCCACGCGTTGGCCGCTGCTGCTCTGCCCACGAGTCCTGCTCTACCTCTCCCCTTTGTCCCCGTCTGCTCAGCCGTGTACGCTCTCTTCGGCTCCTGCTTCACGAATGACACTGGCGACTCTCCTGTCTTGCTCCCCTGCACCCAATACTGCTTCCGAAACTTCACCTTTTCTTTCCATGTGCAAATGGTCATCCCCACGCCCCAAATCAAGTCCGTGCCTAGCAACACATCAAAGTCTTCTGAGTCCGAGATCCCACACTGCAGCCTTATGCTGGTCTGCTCCTCCCTCCCTGGCATCAGGACAATCTCCACTAGATTCTTGGTGCACGGCAACCACTTAGGTTCACCCCCTTCTGCTGTCATGACCAGCATTCCCCTCTTTATGTGCTGCCCTGGCCCTGTCAACCCCAGCTTCTCTGCTAGCCGCTTCCCCAACATCACACTCTGTGCCCCCGTGTCTAAGATTGCGGTTCTTGCCATTTCCCCTCCTACTGCCACTGTCCCTGCTCCTGCCATCAGCACTGTCGCCTGACTGGCTAGCCGCTCCTTGGGATGCCTGGCTGGTTCCTCCTCCCCACAGTCCTCCTCTGGTTCCCGCCTTGGCCCGCCCTTCTCCTTGACTATGTGTTCCTTTCTCCCATCTTTGCCCCCGCTGCGCAGGCCCAACTCCTCTCGGCTGCGTAGCACCATAAAATTGTACTCCGACTCTGGCTCCTCTATCACCTCTGCTTCGTCATCCTCCTCTCGTGCATATAACACTGCCTCCTTCTCCTTCTTCCCTCCTAATGCCTGCAGCTGTGCCTGCAATCTCCCTATCTGGCTCTCAATCTCCTCTGGCGTCCTCTTCGGCCCTCCCGTACGTTGGTAGCAGTCCTTCCCCTTGTGCCCCCGCCTCCCGCAAACCTCGCAGGTTGGCGCATCCGGGCAGTCCTTGCGCCTGTGTCCCGGCTTCCCACACGTGTCGCAATTCCTGCAGTTCCTCGCCAAGTGCCCTGGTTGCTTGCATCTGTGGCAGGTGCGTGTCTCAGCCCCTCTCTCCTGCCGACTCTCCTCCCATCCTCCTGTCTCATGTATCATTGCTGCAGCCCACGCGGGATTCCTCTTCTCTGTCGGCCTCGGCAGGTACACCTCATACTTCCTCTGCGCCAGCTCCACTCTCTCCGCCAGCTCAAATACTTCTTCCGGCGTTGCATCAGCTCCTAATTCGTAGACCCTCATCCTCAGTCCTCCTGCCAGCCCTTTATCCAACCCATTCAAGAACTTGCTAATGATCATGCTGTGGTCCGTGCACACCACGTCCTCCGCCAGATTCATCAATCTCCCATAGTATGTCAGTAACGACTCCTCATCCTTCCGTTTAAACTCCTGGAACTCCTTGATACGCGCGGCTGTATGCCCGGGAAACTGCTTCCTTAGCCGCTCCAAAAACAGCAGGGTTGGATCCTCGCCGTCCTCTTCTGCCCTCCTCAGCCACTCCCTAATCTTCATGCGGTATAATGTCTCTGCTTCTCCCCCTAGCGTGTGTGGCAAGCTTAGGAAAAAGTCAATGGGGTCCATCCCACTCCTGTCACATCTGTATTTGACATTGCTTATCTGCATCAAGTAATTCTTGAGGCTTGGACCCGTGCTTTCGCTCCCTGTGAAGCGTACCGACACCTCCACTCTTGGCGGTGCTGCCGTGCCCCACCTGCCTGTCTCCCAGTTTCCTGAGTCTCCTTGCTCTACAGGTGTGCCTCTTCTCTGCTTCCCTCCTTCTCCCTTGCTCCCCGTGCTGGTCCCGTACAGCACTCGCTCCAACCCTTCGCGCACAGCTCTTGCTCCAGCCGATTCTTCTCTGTATTGCCTCCTTGGCCCTATAGGACTGGGGCTCCTCCTCCTGTCCCTCTCAAGGTTTTCTCTGCACCCCTCCGTCCATATCCTGTCCCTCCCCGCGGGCGAACGCCCCGGGTGCCGCCTTTCTTGCTCTCTCCTCACCCATCTCTTCTCCTCCGCCCTCGAACAATACTGTGACTGCCGGCCCCCATCCCTGCCCCTTCCTTCCTCGGCATACCTCCGCTCTCATGTAGGTGGGCTTCTCTGGCGTCGCCCCACATACTCTTCCCGTCCGTGCTGTCGTTGTGGACTCGGCCTCCTCCCTTCACCCATCGCCATGCGTCGCTGGCGATTGTACCCTAGCGTTGGTTCCGGCGAACGAAATGCACCTGGTGCTGCCTCTTGATCTCTTCCGCCCTCCGCCTGCGCCTTGTACTGCTGTCCAGCACCTTGGACCCTCCCTCGCGGCGCACCTTCGCCTCGCCGCCTCATAGGTGAGCCTTCTTCCGTCTCGCCTCCCTTGTAATACTCCTGCATCTTCTTTCCTTGGCTCTGCTCCTGCTCTCTCTTTCCGGCGTCCCCTCGTTTCCCCTCTCTCCGAGCAGCTGGGAAATCTCCTTCGTCAACATTGCTGCGCCTCTCGCCGCCCCGCGCAGTGGGAGAAGCTTCGTCGTCGGCGTTGACGCGCCTCCCGCCGCCCCACGCGGTGGGGGAACCTTCGTCGTTGACATTGCTGCGCCTTCCGCCGCCCCGTGCAGTGGTGAAAACCTCGTCGTCGGCGCTGATGCGCCTCCCGCCGCCCCGTGCGGTGGGGGAACCTTCGTCATCGGCGTTGACACGCCTTCCGCCACCCCGCGCAGTGGGGGAACCTTCGTCGTCGGCGTCGACATGCCTTCCGCCGCCCCGCGCAGTGGGGGAACCTTCGTCGTCGGTGTTGTCATGCCTTCCGCCGCCCCGCGCAGTGGGGGAACCTTCGTCGTCGGCGTTGACATGCCTTCCACCGCCCCGCGCAGTGGGGGAACCTTCGCCGTCGGCGTTGACATGCCTTCCGCCGCCCCGCGCAGTGGGGGAACCTTCGTCGTTGGCGTTGACATGCCTTCCGCCGCCCCGCGCAGTGGGGGAACCTTCGTCGTTGGCGTTGACATGCCTTCCGCCGCCCCGCGCAGTGGGGGAACCTTCGTCGTTGGCGTTGACATGCCTTCCGCCGCCCGGTGCAAGCAGGGTATCTTCTCGTCCTTCCTCTTCACCCTGCTTGCCCGCCGGATCCACGTCCATGTCTTCGGCTTGGCGCCTTCCATCCCCTCCGTGCTGGCCTCCGGCCAGGTTCCACGGGTTGCTCGTCGTGGGACGCCTCCAAGGCTCCGATCTGACGCTTACATCCTCCCTGCTTCCTTCTCGTCGCCCGCCCGTTGGCGTCACCGGATCCGCGCGATACGCCGCCCGACGGGACGAGCGCGTCGGCGATCTCCCACGCTCCCTGGAGCGCCTCATCCGCGACGGAGATTGCTCCCGCCGCGCGTACGTCCGCTGCATGTGCAGATCGTGGCGATCCATGTCGCCGGCCAACTTCTCTCGCTTTATGTGAGAATCGTGCTCCCACCCCATGGCTGCCCACAGTGGCTTAGAGCTACCTAGCTGGAGTTAGCTTAAACCGGCAACTTCAATCCACTCTATGAGGCAAACAAAGCGAGAGAACAGGCTCAATTGGCTAGGCTAGGCTACTTTATTCCCACTCTGAGTTTTGGCAATTGCCATCACCTTGAGTTGGGTTCGGGTCGCCTTGTGCCCTTACTGGTCAATGTAGATTTCCTGTCCCTCGAGGCGCCTTGTCACTTTTCCCAATGCCCCCGATTCCCCATGCCAACAACTTCGCGTCATTCCCCTGGCCCAAGGAATCCCCTACACCCGAATGGCATAACCCCAACCTACACCCTTCTACACCCATTCTAGCAAGCAACAGAATATATTGTTCTTTGCCACTATATTTGTTGACAGCCGTCACAGAGCGAGAGTACGGCGGCGACGTCATGCTTTGTGGGTTGAAGACCTGCAGCACATGCGGGAGAACGACTTCCAGGACCTTTTCAGGATAAACCGCGCCATATTTGAGCATATCAAGACTGGGATGCAACACTATCTAGAGCCCATCGTACACTGGTCAATGCTCACAATGGACACCGCGGTGCTCATCTTTATCAAGTACCTGGCGTCAGGAATTTCCTACGTCGACATGTCGTACCTGTTCGGTGTCTCCAAGACACTCTGCCACGAGCTTGTCGAAGTGTTCCTCACCGAGTTCCCCTCCGTCTTCAAGGCCGCCTGGGTGCGCTTCCCCACAGGCGAAGAGCTTCCCGAGATGGCGCGTGAATTTGCAGCCATCAAAGGTGTACCTGCAGTGGTGGGGGCTGTGGACGGGACTCATATCCACATGAAAAGGGATGGAAGGGCACAGAGCGGAGTACTGGACAAGGAAGTCGGCCTATGCCTTACAACTCCAGCTCACATGTGATGCACAAGGCAGGATATGGGACTACCTAATCGGCTATCCCGGCAGCGCGCACGACATGCGGGTTTTCAAAGAGTCTGCACTACTGGAGAGGTTACACAACGGGGACATAGCCCCATACCAGATTGTTGGTGACGCGGCCTACCCTCTACGAGAATACTACCTAACACCCCTGCATGCCCCACGCGGAGAGGACCTCATGGACGACTGGGCACAATGTTTCAACTACTGTTAGAGCGCCACACGCATGGCGGTGGAGAGGTGCATCGGCGCCTTCAAAGGGAGATGGCGCATCTTCGCCCAGCGCAACGACTGCAGGTTGTGGCGCATTCTCACTGGGGCCGCGTGTTGTGTGATCCTGCACAACATGTGTGAAGAGATGCAAGAGGTAAGGTGCAAGAACATGGCCTGGGAGAACCTTCCCCGCAACCGCGATCCATGGTGGACGCGGGGTGCTATTGCGACACACAAGTGGGAACCGTGTGTTCCCCCAACACAACAAGCACTGAGGAAGAGGCGGAAACGACTGGGTGAGGCACTCCAGGACTCTTACGCTAATCGTCGGCGCCGCGCACCCATATCTCCACATCCTCAACAACCGGAGTGACGGTGTTGACGTCGCCCACATCTTCTCGCGGCTGTGCGGCTTTGGGAGGTGGCGCGGACTCCCCGCGTGGCGGAGGAGGGGAGAAATCCAGCGGCGCACGGTGCACATCCGGGGGAGCCGATTCAGTCATGCGCTCGCGGGCAAGTCGCATGTCTTGCGCCATCCATTCATGGACGAGGCTCTCAATGCAGGTCATCGCATCACCGTGGCAGTCCTTGATGGTGGCGGAGACCAGCATGGCCGCTTTGTGAAGAAATGAGGAATGAAGAAGAGAGAGGGGTTGCACTAGCAGCAGTTGGCATACATATAGGAAACCCTAATTGGGTTGTACTCGCTATAGAGTACCCCACTGTAGGCTAGACAATCATAACATTCTGACACGCTTGCATGGTAGCCGTCTCATGCACCCGGGCGCGCCTGGGTGTGGCAGTGGTCGTCGGCAGTGGAGCTATGACAGAGGAGCGGGGAAGATAGTAGGTTAGATTAGTCCGTGCACACGATGATCATGTATCGTGCATATTAGCTGATAATCATAACGGCAGCTTAAAACTACGACTTGTATGGCAAACATGCGAACCAAACAACGTCGAATAGTAGGAACACACCCATGTAGCATGGGGTTGACGTGCCTGGCTGGGACGAAGTTGGAACCTCCATGCCGGCCGGCACGTTGACGTTAGTCGCGCCGCCTCCGTCCACCCCATGCGGTGCGGCTGCGGCGGTGTCTTGGTTTTGCAGTTCCAGGTACGGATACCATGGTGGTTTCTCCACCGAGCCATTGCCCGACCCCCCGTCGGCACGCTTGTACTCCTGCCAAAGAAGCATCAAGTTGCGCCACTGCTTCTGCAGTGCGTTGACTCCCCTGCACCATCCGGGGTTCGACTCCTTGATGTGTGCGAGCAACCGGGTCCAGTATTGCGTCCTCTGCTTCCCCTTGAGAGGCTCGAGCTCCTCTTTCATGAACCATTTCGCCGCGACGAAAATGGTGCTCTCCTTGTCAGACCATAAGCCCCGCTCGACTGGTGCTGCCGCCCGTTTCTTCCGCGACTCCGGGCGTGCTGCAGGTTGCGCCGCCTTGCCTTTGCCCTTATCAGACCCTGGTGCGCGTGTGGCGCTCCGTCTTGGCGGCTGAGCGACAGGCTGTGCTTCCTCCGGGGCGTCCTCCTCGGCGTCCTCATCGTCGTCATCGTCGTCGCTGGGCGACATTCCAAGGTCGTCTGGTTCCTCCTCCTCGTCTTCGGAGTCGAGGCCTTCGTCGCGGTCGTCGTAGTCAGCATCGTCATCGTCCTGCTCCACGACTGGCCGGTGCATTGCTGCCGTCCTTGCAGGCTGACGGCGCACACGTGACGGGGCCGGTGTGGGCGACTGTGCACTGGATCCCTGGCCGTCAAGCACTGGCGGCGCGGATAATCCCCTAGGATGGCGCCCGTTGGCGATCTGCTGGTTCATCCAGCGGATGTACGGAATGTCGTTTAGATCCTTGGGGCAGTCGTTAAGGGCCTGCCCCTTACGCTTACGAGCCATGCTGGCGGCTAGAGGGTTTCTAGATCTAGATCTAGAGGGAGCGGAGGCAGGGAGAAAATCATAGATTGGTACTTCAAAGCTTGTCGTCAAACTTGACCTCGTAAGGGATTGAGAGGCAGCCGGAGTTGTGGGGGAGGTGCACTGGAACTGGGGGAAGGCGCAATGGCGGGGGAGTGCGCGTCCCTCTCAATAATTCTGGTTGTGTTGTCTCGACCAATCACAACGCTGAGTACGCGTTGACGGGGATAGAGGGTCACGCAAAATGTTGTCCAGATACATGCTGCATGAGATGACATTTGGCACCGCGTGCGATTGATGGGGTGTGTTGCAATTAGCTGGCGAATGTTCCGTGAATCACGCCACCCAATGATAACTACATTCGGCGACAACCACGGGCGGCGCGTCATTCCGACACCTGGCAGCGTATGCTGTACGTACGCGTCTCAATCGAATGGGACACATCGATTGGGACATATTCTACAGCGGAATGTACCCTAAGGTGTCAAACGAGTACAAAATGTGAGCGAAGGCATGAGCGAACATTTATACGCGAAACATGCAAACGGTAACGCAGTGCGTGCGAGCTAGCTAGTGCTACGCTGGAGGCGAGGCTCGGGCTAGTCCCGAAGCGTAGGCCGACACGGCCGGTCCAGCAGTGCGAGGTTTGGTGAAACAGTGCGCGCGAAGTCGGCGAAGCCCCGTTAGCAGTAACGGGCGAACAACGGCTGCTGCTGTACACGATGTTGCAGGGCGCGCTAAGGAATATCGAGAAAATTCCTTACATCTATACAGATTCAATTGCAAAAAAACCCGCACGTTTCATACAGTATCAGAGTACTAACATGACAATGGCGTCAGGATACCAACTTGACAAGCCGAATTTCAGGGAACTTGTCCTTCAAAGCAGCCTGAATTCCCATGGCCATCGGCGGTGGCCCCTCGAACCGCACTTCGCAAAAACCCTTCACGAGATCAAGAGAGACTGCAGATGCTGACGCTCCGTACTTGCTCAGAGTGGGTTGGAGAACCTGCGAGAGATGATTCTCCACAGCCTGCACGAGGGGGAGGAGGGGGAAGGATGCCAAGGCAGACAGGACAGAAGGCGGAAGGTCACAGAGTACAGACATGAAAATGAGTTGGCTAGGATTTTTAGAATATCACCTCAGGCTGCTGACACATGCGTTACTTGCTCAGAGTGGCTTGGAGAACCTGTGAGAGATGATTCTCCACAGCCTGCACAAGGGAGAGAGGGGGGAAGGATGCAAAGACAGAGGGACAGGTGGTGGAAGGGCACAGAGGCACAGGCATGTTTTCTTAGTTGGCTATAACGTTACCTCAGACTGCCACGTGCACAAGGGGGAGAAGGAAAACGGGTGAAAATAAGAGCGAGGAGGAGGGATGGCACACCCACCTGGAATTGCTTACAGCAAGGGTGCATATGCATGCTTACAGCAAGGGTGCGTGCTCAAAGGTATGTGTGTGTGCTTACAGCGAGGGTGTGTACTCAAGGGTTTGTGTGTGTGCTTACAACGAGGGTGCATGCTCAAGGGTTTGTGTGTGTTCTTACAGCGAGGGTGAGCCTGTTGTCAACGCCACCCAGCTGCATGACCTCCTTGAGCTTCTCCCCAAACGCGTCCTGCAGGGCCCTCTCAATGCCCATCTTCATCGTTGCTGCTGAGCTGGGGCACGTGTTGCACGCACCTGAGGCGGTGATAGGGGGGAATGCAGAGCAAGACATCTGAATTCGGCTCAAAGTGCATATTGTAAGAATGAAGCACATGGGCCCTCTCAATGCCCATCTTCATCGTTGCTGCTTAGCTGGGGCACGTGTTGTGTTGCAGGCACCTGATGGAGAAAGGTGCAAGGGAAGGAAGCATACAGAAATGGACTTCTGACTCGGCTCAAACCGGATCACTCAAATCCCTCTTAATTACTATCCTCATAATTTCAGCTGAGCTGGGTTCGCGGTACATGCACCTCGGAGAGTAAGGTGTGCGGGAGGGGGGGACGGGAAATGCAGGTCAAAGTCTTGTAATTCGGCTCCAAGTGCACCCTGTAATGCCGTCTTGATTACCATCTTCATTATTGCTGCGGAGCTGGGATGTGTGTGTGTGTGTGTGTGTGTGTGTGTGTGTGTGTGTGTGCGTGCGTGTGTGTGTGTGTGTGTGTGTGTGTGTGTGCATGTGCGCGCGCGCGCGTCTGTGTGTGTGTGTGTATCTGTAAGTGTGTGCATCGCATGTGCGCACATGCACGTGTGTTCCTACCTTGCAGCTCCAGGATAACAACACCATTCTCCACGGCTTTCACCTCCACATTGCCGCCATCCGCCACCAGGTACGGCCGCACCCGATCCAGCACCTGGTCAGCCGACTCAACTGTCAGCTCCATCTCCCCCTCCGCTTCCTCTGCTCCCCCACCTGCCCCCGTGCCTGCAGCACCTGGGCGCGCAAACGGGCTAACAATGGGTGCTGCCGAACGGAGAGCAGCGGAGGGTGCAGCTACCCCGCTGCCTTGCTGTGCTGTTGCTGCTTCTGTTGCCGTGGCTCCTCTCGCCTCTCCTTTCGCTGCTCTGGAAGGCTTCCCATTAGAGCTTCCTCTAGCAGAAACGGTTTCTTGCGTCTGCCCGTCAATCACAGAGCTCCAGTCGTCGCCCTCTGTGGCCTATAAGCAGCAAAACGGTCAAAACAGACACAGACGGGACAAATGATGCCATGCCACACCATTCCGTGCCATGCACTGCCCTGAACTGCCAGGCCCCCCGCATGTCCCTATCCTCTACTTTTAATATTCAAAACCTCTCTAACCTTAAAGCTCGCGGCCCAAATTGCGGGGCGCGCTGGCCAAGCTTACTAAGGTTGACGGGGGTGATGTTTTGAGTGCTGTTTGGGTTGCGAAGGGTGGTTACGAGAAGTGAGATGCAATCTGATTGGCCAGTTTTTTTTTGTCGAATGGGAGAGCAGGGAACAACAATATGTTGATTGCAATTTGGGACTCTCGAAGCAAACCCAGGTTGCTCCCAGGGGTTTGCCGTGTCAACGAAAACCCCAAGGGTCTAGCGCGAAACTGGGCGAAAGGAAACAGCCCAACTCCCAACAAGTCAACTTCTTCTCCCACCACCCAAAGGTCAACCTTACTAAGGTTGAACAATTTGGGCCGCGAGCTTTAACACCCACCACCCCGTCACTTCACCAATCCACCTTCTCCCTTGATCTCCCTCATCAACTGCAGCAGCTGCAGTCTCCGCGTATCACCCTCTCCATCCGACTCCCCTTTCCAAATCCCCACATCAATCCATACCACGACCCTTTCCTGCGTCCCTCCATCCCACCACTCCATCCCCCCATCCCTCCATCCCACCACTCCATTCCCCCATCCCTCCATCCCACCACTCCATCCCCCCATCCCTCCATCCCACCACTCCATTCCCCCATCCCTCCATCCCACCACTCCATCACCCCATCCCTCCATCCCACCACTCCATCACCCCATCCCTCCATCCCACCACTCCATCACCCCATCCCTCCATCCCACCACTCCATCACCCCATCCCTCCATCCCACCACTCCATCACCCCATCCCTCCATCCCACCACTCCATCACCCCATCCCTCCATCCCACCACTCCATTCCCCCATCCCTCCATCCCACCACTCCATCACCCCATCCCTCCATCCCACCACTCCATCCCCCCATCCCTCCATCCCACCACTCCATCCCCCCATCCCTCCATCCCACCACTCCATCCCCCCATCCCTCCATCCCACCACTCCATTCCCCCATCCCTCCATCCCTCCAACCCCCCTCACATGCAGCAGCTGCAGCCGGCGCCTATCGCTCTCCCCGTCCGTCTCCCCGCCGCCTGTACTCCTCATCGTCCATCAGGTTCTCCCCCATCGCCACGCGCATCCTTCCTTCTCTGCCCCCTCGTCCCCTCTGCCTCCCCCCATATCTCACCCAAATGCACCCAACAACCTCGCTCTCATTCTCCCATGCAACCCCACCTCACCCCAAGAGCAGAACAGCTGGCTATCGCACAATTTCCCCATTCCGCCATCTCTCCATCCCTCCAACCACCCTCCCTCACCTGCAGCAGCTGCATCCTCCGCCTGTCGCTCTCCCCGTCCGTCTCCCCGCCCTCCACCCTCCGCCTGTACTCCTCATCGTCCATCAGGTTCTCCCCCATCGCCTTGCGCATCCTCAGCCGCCGCTCCTCCTGCTCCGCCCGCTCCCCATCGCTCAGCTCCCCCCCCTCCGCCGCCGCCGCTGCTGCCGCGCCCACCTGCGCGCCCTGCGCCTCCCACCGGGCAAAACTGAAGGGGGAGGAGAGGAAAAGGGGGGAGTATGATTTTGAGACGATTGAAAATAGACTGCTGCGCCCACCTGCGCGCCCTGCGCCCCCCACCAGGCGAAACTTAGGGGGAAGAGTGGGGAAAAGGGGGAGGGACGGGAGAAAGGGAGAGAAGGCGGACGAGAGATTTGTTGAAGAAGGTGGAGGGATTGGATGGGTAGAACGCGCCACGTCACAAAGATAGTTTAGAGGGTGAGGAGAAGAGGAGGGTACTCGGAATGGGTGATCAAGGGAAACCAACGGGGAGATGCATCAACCAGAAGAGCATCCGTGCTTACCTGCTAGTCTGCATGAAACTTTCGCTCTGCCCGAGCTCCTGCAACCACCGCCTCCGCTCCCCGTCCAGCACTGCCCGGGAAAGCAGTGAATCTGCCCGGTACACCTGCACCCTCACAGAGCTACACAGTTCCTCGCCCATAGCCGCCCTGTGGCCCTGCGGTGGGTAGGGAGAAGAGGAGCGCAGAAGAGAGAGGAGGAGAGAGTTCGGGGAGAAGCGGGAAAGGAAGAATGATTAAGGTGTGTTTTGAGTCGATTCAGAACACACCCGAGACACCTGCACCCTGACTGATCTGCACAGCTCCTCACCCATTGCCACCCTGTGGCCCTGCGGAGGGCAGGGGGAAAGGGAGGAGGAGGTGAAAGTTGGGGAAGAACAGGGAAACATGTTAAGGTTTGTTTTGGGGCTCCCCACCTGCCCAGGTGCAGCACCAACGGTCATTTCTCTACCCGCATGCGAGGCCGAAGGCGACCTCACCTTGAGCGACACGACGATGTTGCGCGAGTACCCCACGTACTGCAGCGCGCCAGCGCCGTCATACACGGCGTAGATCCCGGCGAGCTTCTGCAGCTCGCGCGCCGCCACGTAGTCCTGCACCGGCGACAGCAGCGTGCCGTCGTCCTCGCCTGGCCGCGCCGTGTATGCGGATGACGTGGCCTCGTGCACGTCTGGCGGGGCGAATGAGGGGTTCGGAGGAGGGGGGAGGGATGGAGATGGCCTTTGAGACGATTTCTGCGGATGACGTGGACTCGTGCACGTATGATGGGATGCATGGGGTTCGGATGGGAAGAGAGGGGGCATGGGCAGGGGGGGGAAGGTGCTTGGGGAGGGGGGGGAGTGAGGGTCGGAGATTGAAGATGACGTTGTTGGAAGTGGAGACTGGGATGGCCTCAAGGGGTCTTCTTCCTAAAGTGACTCCCTCCCAAATGGCTACACGTGCCGTCCTGGCGGGTATGGGTAGGCCAACCTACCACAAGAACTGGAGCTATCCCTGCAGACGACTCGAGAGACAGTAACGTGGTTTCGGTTTTTGCCACTTGAGCCTTCACTTATCTTGAAGCCCCGTGTGTCCCTCCGGCACCGTCGTGTCCGTCAGAACCGCCACGTGGCCAACTCCTGTTTCACTACCAGCCGTGATGCGGCCTCTGGCGATAGAGAAGCCTCACATGGCATCAGTTCAGACGTACCTCCCTCGCCGTAGAGGAAATCATGCAGCCCTTTGTGTCCCTCGGGAACCGTCGCGTCCGTCATTACTGCCACGCCTCCGATCCCCGGCACGCTGGTAGCCACGCTACTGGGAGGCGCTGATGCAATCGGTGATGGCGACGATTTATTGGTTGTATCGACAGGTGCTGACGAATCCGCTCGGACCGCTGCAATTCGTGATTGGTTCGGCCGAACTGTGGCATTCCTTTGGTGCCGAAGGGATTTCAGTGGGGAGACACTGAAGAGTGGCCGAGCGGCGATGGTGGGATGTGGTTGTACTCTAAGCGTTGTGGTAGCTGCGGTCATCGTCCGAACGTGAGACATTGTGGCGATGCAGCTATCGCACACCATGGCTAAAGGTCCGTCGGACTGAGTGTAAAGGTGCGACGCGAATAGGGGTTCAATGCGCGATTAATGCGGCAAACAAGAACAACAAAAATACAAAATCTTGCCTTAGCGGATTCTCCTCAGTCCGGAAATCGCCCAATGGAGGACTGAGGTCAAGGGCTATCTGCTGTATGAAGCTAGTTCGAAAGCTTGAAATTGAACTCGCAAATTGAGTGAGAAGTGAGGAATGGGATGAAGGCCAATTCCAGGTTCAGGAATGTCTTTTGAGATATGAATCCTGTGGAGATAGCTGATGAACAAGACTCCTCTCCAGCAGATTCGAGGTACATCATGCCAAATAGGATACACAACCGAGAAAACACGATCAGAAAATAACAGAACCGAGCAGCCATCCCGAAAATGACATCCCTTTGCGCAGATCACGATGTCGGTCGGTCAACTTCAAGGGTGTTCTGAAACAATGCTGCGTCAGCGTCACGCGAAGCACAAAATTGCTTGTGGCCAATCGGTGAGAATTTTTTGGATTGCGTTCGCTTCGCGATTGGAGTAGAGCTGCCTGCCACATCTAGGGGGCCTGAATCTGGCGGAGGTTCGGTTGGTGGCTTTCCTGAAGATGCAGGTGTCAACGTCCACGTCGGCCTGATGCCATGTGCTGAGAACGCGGCTTCGCGAGGAACTTGAGCCATTTTTTACGCGATTGAGAGATCGTCGTTATAGCACTTACCCGGTCGATCAATATGATCTGACACATAGGTAATCAATAATCGCCTCTTCAATAAAAGCAGCCTCTGCAACGGTACAGCTCGCCATTTCGAAAACCATCAGCAACGCCATTTGGATTCAGGACGCAGGGGCTTCGCTGCTAGCCCATAGATGTTTCCGCGACTCCCGCCCGTGTAACAATGGAAAAGGGCCGAGTGGTTGTCTTGGACAATGGAGGAGCCACGTGCAAGATAGGCTTTGGAGGGGAGGCGGAACCGGTGAAGGTCATTCCTAACTTCGTGGCTAAAGCCAAGAGCCTGAAACGGCCTTTTGTTGCTGACCTAGTCGACACGTGTCCAGACATCAAGGTAGTGTCGTATCACCGAGGTCAGTCATTATCCACGCTTTCGCCAACCCTGCCACGTATTTTTGAATCATTCAAAGTTACTTTCGTGGTGCGGTTTTACCTTTTTCTAGGGTTTGGGCGTGCTGAGGCCCGTTGACCGGGGCTACGTGGTCAACTGGGACCTACAGCGAACCATCTGGGACAGAGCCTTCTCCGGTATTCTCAAGGTACTACATGAAAAAAAAAAAAAACACATCTTTGCCTCGTCAAGGCAACGCCTACATTCTTCCTGATTCCGTTTTTCACCTCCCATCCCTCGTCGCCACACGTCCCATAGGTCCTATCTGCATCCCCAATCTCTTCTCACTTCACTCCTCGTTTCACCTCCCATCCCTCCTCCGCACCCCCCCCAGGTACAACCGTCCAGCACGTCCCTATTGGTATCAGAGCCGCTCTTCAGCCTGCCGGGCATCCAGCGCAGCATGGCGGAACTCGCCTTTGAGCACTTTGCCTTCCGCTCCTACCTCCCCGTCCCCTCCCCCGTGCTTGCGTACCGCCATGAGGTGTGTGTGTGTGTGTGTGTGTGTGTGTGTGTGTGTGTGTGTGTGTGTGTGTGTGTGTGCGTGCGTGTGCGTGTGCGTGTGCGTGTGCGTGTGCATGTGTGCGTGTGTGTGTGTGTGTGTGTGTGTGTGTGTGTGTGTGTGTGTGTGTGTGTGTGCGTGCGCGTGCGCATCCCACTGTGCTCCTCTCCATCCCACTGTGCTTGCGTACTGGCATGAGGGTGTGTGTGTGTGCGTTGCAGCATGTTCTCTTCTCTGTAAGTGCATTCCCCACTCTTTATTCCCTTTCCAATCCTTCCTCCCCCTTTCTCACTGTCTCATTCTCATGCCATCCACCCAAACCAAACATGTCTTTCCCGTGCACTGCTTTCCTCTCTGTCTCACCCCCTCTGTCCTGCTGCATCAGGGCAGTCCTCAGTGCTCCGTGACTCACCACCAGCACCACAAATGCCATCATTGCTTGCCACGTCATCAGCTGCTGCTGCCAGCTCAGCAATGGCGCTGGAGGCGGGCTGTGGGCTGGTGGTGGATGCTGGCTTCTCCTTCACCCATGCCGTGCCCATCTGGAACAACAGACCGCTGCTGCAAGCTGTCAGGTGAACACAACAGACCGCTGCTGCAGGCTGTCAGGTGAAAACAACAAACCGCTGCTGCAGGCTGTCAGGTGAACACAACAGACTGCTGCTGCAGGCTGTCAGGTGAACACAACAGACCGCTGCTGCAGGCTGTCAGGTGAACACAACAGACCGCTGCTGCAGGCTGTCAGGTGAACACAACAGACCGCTGCTGCAGGCTGTCAGGAGAAAAGAACAGACCCCTGCTGCAGGCTGTCAAGCGATAACAGCAGATTATTGCTGCAGGTTGCCAGGTGAAAAGAAAATTGTTACAACAGGCTGCCCGGTGAAAGCAACAGTTTTGCTATTTAGTTGCATAAGAACTCATGTCGTACTCTCATTTCTCCCCCTCCCTTCTGTTGCCCAACCCCAGGCGCATGAACGTGGGCGGCAAGGCACTGACGAATGTGTTGAAGGAGGCGGTGTCGTACCGCGCATGGAACATGATGGACGAGACGCTCATCATGGACCATGCCAAGGAGCAGCTCTGCTTCGTCTCGCTCTTCCCCACGCGCCACCTGCCGTCAGCCAGGTGAATCCTCAGGTGGGCTGGGCGGTTGGCCAAGGTGAGCTCCGTTGAGACGGACCATGTCTAGAAGCAGCTGCGTCTTGGCTGTCTTCCCTGCTTGCCACCTCCCCTTGGCCAGGCGAATCCTCAGGTGAGGTCTCTTCTCCCCTCCCTCCTCCCCTCCCGCCTCCCCTCCTTCTTCCCCTCCCTCCTCCCCTCCCACCTCCCCTCAACCCTAAACCCTAAACCCTCCTCCTCCCGCCCTCTGTGCTTGTGCTCGTGCTCTTTCTTCAGGAAACGGGATGCCAGCAACATATTCCGGGCAGAGTACTTGCTGCCCGACGGGGTCACTCTTCTGCGCGGGCAGGTGAAAGACCGCACAGCAGCGATGCAGGCAGTGAAGGCCCAGGAGGAGCTGTGGGAGCAACACTTAGCAGAGGAGGTGGAAGAGGCAAGGGGAACGAGAGGGGGAACGAGAGGGAGGAAACGAGGTGGGGCTTTGCTAGAGGGTAGGACGAGGCGAGGGTGCGATGGGGTGGATAGAGGGGAGGAAGACGGGGAGATGGGGAGGAAGAGAGGGAGAAGCGGGTGGAAAGGGGAGCGGGGGGATGAGGAGGGAGGACGGAGGCAGCAGCAAGGTGGCAGGGGTGGGGATGGTGGGATTGCTGGTGGGGATGATGAGGATGAGGAAGACGAGGAGGAGGATGAGGACTGGGATGAGAGGAAAGGGCGAGGCAAGGCCAAAGGTGGTGCTGCTGCTGCCGGTAGTGGTGGTGGTAACAGTGGTGGTGCTACTGCTGCTGGTAGTGGTGGTGGTAACAGTGGTGGTGCTGGTGGAGGGGCGAGTGTTGTGATGCCACCACCAGCCAACAGCAGAGGTGCTGCTGGTGGTGGTGGTCCGGGCAGCAGAACTGGAGGAAGCAGCAGCGAGCAGCCGGTGAGTAGTCTGCTGGCGGGGAGGGGTGGGTTGTATTTCCCGGAGGAGAACGAATGAAGTTCTATTCCCCGAAATACAAACGTCCTATTTTCCACTCAAAACGGATGGTGAGGAGAGACAAGCATTTGCTTTATGTTTCCCCGTCCCTGAATTTTCACTGCCGGACAGGGGGCTCTTCCACTTCCTTTGACGCGCCTCAATCAACTCCCTTCCCCCTGCTGGTTTTCCTGCTTTCTTCCTGCTTGCCCACCACCAGGAGCTATCACTGGCATCGGAACGCTTTATGGTGCCGGAGGGCCTCTTCCACTTCCTCTTCTTCAGAATAACCACTTCCTCTTCCACTCAACTGTGTTTCCCTTCCCGTCCCCACTCTCTCCCCCCCTCTCTCCCATCCCTTCCCCAGGAGCTATCACTGGCATCGGAACGCTTCATGGTGCCGGAGGGCCTCTTCCACTTCCTCTTCTTCAGAATAACCACTTCCTCTTCCACTCAACTGTGTTTCCCTTCCCGTCCCCACTCTCTCCCCCCCTCTCTCCCATCCCTTCCCCAGGAGCTATCACTGGCATCGGAACGCTTCATGGTGCCAGAGGGCCTCTTCCACTTCCTCTTCTTCAGAATAACCACTTCCTCTTCCACTCAACTGTGTTTCCCTTCCCGTCCCCACTCTCTCCCCCCCTCTCTCCCATCCCTTCCCCAGGAGCTATCACTGGCATCGGAACGCTTCATGGTGCCGGAGGGCCTCTTCCACTTCCTCTTCTTCAGAATAACCACTTCCTCTTCCACTCAACTGTGTTTCCCTTCCCGTCCCCACTCTCTCCCCCCCTCTCTCCCATCCCTTCCCCAGGAGCTATCACTGGCATCGGAACGCTTCATGGTGCCGGAGGGCCTCTTCCACTTCCTCTTCTTCAGAATAACCACTTCCTCTTCCACTCAACTGTGTTTCCCTTCCCGTCCCCACTCTCTCCCCCCCTCTCTCCCATCCCTTCCCCAGGAGCTATCACTGGCATCGGAACGCTTCATGGTGCCGGAGGGCCTCTTCCACTTCCTCTTCTTCAGAATAACCACTTCCTCTTCCACTCAACTGTGTTTCCCTTCCCGTCCCCACTCTCTCCCCCCCTCTCTCCCATCCCTTCCCCAGGAGCTATCACTGGCATCGGAACGCTTCATGGTGCCGGAGGGCCTCTTCCACTTCCTCTTCTTCAGAATAACCACTTCCTCTTCCACTCAACTGTGTTTCCCTTCCCGTCCCCACTCTCTCCCCCCCTCTCTCCCATCCCTTCCCCAGGAGCTATCACTGGCATCGGAACGCTTCATGGTGCCGGAGGGCCTCTTCCACTTCCTCTTCTTCAGAATAACCACTTCCTCTTCCACTCAACTGTGTTTCCCTTCCCGTCCCCACTCTCTCCCCCCCTCTCTCCCATCCCTTCCCCAGGAGCTATCACTGGCATCGGAACGCTTCATGGTGCCGGAGGGCCTCTTCCACTTCCTCTTCTTCAGAATAACCACTTCCTCTTCCACTCAACTGTGTTTCCCTTCCCGTCCCCACTCTCTCCCCCCCTCTCTCCCATCCCTTCCCCAGGAGCTATCACTGGCATCGGAACGCTTCATGGTGCCGGAGGGCCTCTTCCACTTCCTCTTCTTCAGAATAACCACTTCCTCTTCCACTCAACTGTGTTTCCCTTCCCGTCCCCACTCTCTCCCCCCCTCTCTCCCATCCCTTCCCCAGGAGCTATCACTGGCATCGGAACGCTTCATGGTGCCAGAGGGCCTCTTCCATCCCTCCGACCTGGGTATGATCCTTTGTAGTTTCTGCTCCTTGGGTTCTCCGCACACTCAAACGCACGGTGTCCCATCTTTCCACACTGGCTGCTTGCTGCTTGCTGCTTATTCCCCCTCCTGCTCCCGCTCCTGCTGTTGCTGCTGCTGCTGCTGCTGCTGGTTTCGCTTTCACCTCCTTCTGGCTGTTTCTTGCCGCTGGCTGCCTCTCCCCATCTCCCCGTCACCTCACCCACGCGCCCACCCTCCACGCTGCCCCGAATGCTGCTTATCCATCTCTCGTCGCCAGGAGTGGAGCAGGCAGGGCAGGCAGAGACAATAATGGTGGCTGTGAGCGCTGTCACCCCTCATCACCTCCCCTCCACCCCATCTCCCTTCCTCCTCTGAATGGTCCATATCCATCTGACGCCACTAGGAGTGGGACAGGCAGGGCAGGCAGAGACAATAATGGCGGCTGTGAGTCGAGTCATCTACGGCCCTCTCACCCTCTCGTTCACTCTCTCTGCCCTGCCACCTTCCGTCTGCCCTCCGGCTTGCGTCACCAGGAATGGGCCAGGCAGGGCTGGCAGACACCATGGTGGCGGCTGTGAGCGCTGCTCCTCGAGTCATCCACCCCCTGCTTCCCTCCACCCCGTCTGCCCCCCTCTTGCTGCCAGGTGTCAGCCAGGCAGGCCTCGCAGAGACAATAGTGGCGGCTGTGACTGCTGCTCCTCGAGTCATCCACCCTCTGCTCTACTCAAAGTACGCCCTTCCCCCTCTCCTCTCTCCTCTCGCCTCTCTCTACTCTCTCCTCTTTCTTCTGCTCTCGTCACTCCTACTTTCTCCTCCTTTCATCTCTATACTTTTCTCTCTGGTCTCCTCTTTGCTCTCTTCTCCCGTCTTTCGCCTCTCGTCTCTCCTCTCCTCTCCTCTCTCTTCTGCCGCATCACCTCTCCAAGTCACCTCTCCCACCCACCTCCCACATGCACCCCACGTGGCAGCATTGTACTGGTGGGCGGCAGCTGTCAGCTCCCATTCTTCAAAGAGCGGCTGTAAGTTTTGCTAACCTATCTCAGCGAGATTTATTACTGCAAGTATTACTCAGTTTCAAGTCCATAATATGTGCGTTATTCGCTTTGCCAAAAAAAAATATTTTCACCATTTTGGACGTGATCACGCCATGTTTTGGCGCTGCTGCTGTCAACGTGTCCCACTCCATCATGCTGATGTATGTCACATTCAATCACATGTGTTATCACATAAACTGTCTCGAGTATCCCAACCTACGTACCCTTCCCCCCTTCCCCCCTCTTCCCTTCTCCCTGTGCCTTGTTGGTTCTGGCAAGGCATTGGAGCTGAGACCCTTTGTGCCCGACTCACTACCCATTAACATCCCATGAGTCGGTTTTTTAGGCGGCCCTGTCTGCCCCTGCCCTTCCGCCCTTTCCCCCCCCCTCTTCCCTTTCCCCTTCTCCCTGTGCCTTGTTGGTTCTGGCAGGGCACTGGAGTTGCGACCCCTTGTGCCCGACTCACTACCCATTAACATCTCTCTCTCCCAAAGGTGTGTGTATAGTAAACTCTAGTGAGTCACTTACCCTCAAGATGCATCTCCTCAATAGTTCTTCCCGACACCATTACCCTGGATAGTCCCGTTCCATCAACTCGGGGTTATGTTGCATACCCGTTCCCTGCAGATTCGCATGCAAGGTGCATGATCCCCTGATCTCCCTTCATCACTCCATGCATGCCACTTTTGAGTCGAGGTGACTTTTGAGTCGACTCAAAAGTCACCTCGCAAGGTGCATGATCCCCTGATCTCCCTTCATCACTCCATGCATGCCACTTTTGAGTCGAGGTGACTTTTGAGTCGACTCAAAAGTCACCTCTGTCACAGAATGTATTGTTGTTTGCAATAGATTCAGTTACTTGCTAGTGTAGGTGTAGTTGAGTTATTCGAAGTACTGTAGAAGGTGAGTTTGGGGCGTGGGGATTGACGCAAAGTGGTGATTCAGGGACTTGCGAGGCGCAGGGTGGGACGAATTCAAGGGCGAGCCCTGGGCAATCTGAAAGGCCAATCCTAAAGCCTAGCGGGCGGAGCCCAATGTGAGTTACGGGAAACTGCGCGGCACGGGGTAGAGATTCAAATAGACTAGGAACTCACTGCTTAGTTCGTTCTCTCGTTTGTTTGCCTAAAATAGTGGATTTACGTTGCCGTTCTAACGCTACAGCAGCTAGGTGACTAGGCCACTGAGGGCAGCCATTGTGTGGGAGCCAGTATCTCTCACAGATTATGAGTTTCCGACACCTCGCAAGGTGCATGATCCCCTGATCTCCCTTCATCACTCCATGCATGCCACTTTTGAGTCGAGGTGACTTTTGAGTCGACTCAAAAGTCACCTCGCAAGGTGCATGATCCCCTGATCTCCCTTCATCACTCCATGCATGCGGGTATGCATGGGTTCATAAGTTGTTGAATCGGCTCTCTGTGGTGTGACTCACTGACCCAACATGGCTACAAAAGTTCCTGCTTGGAGTGAGTGTTGTTATTGCGACCATGTATCAATTGACATTTGTGTCTCTGCGTTTGGTGTGCGGTCTTTGTGTGTTTGGTGTGTGTGCTGTGCGGTGTATTTCGCAGCCCAGTGGTGAGTGCATGGAAGGGAGGCTCTGAGTTAGTCAAGTCAGGAGAATTTGCTCGCAAAGCAGTCACGAAGAAGCAGTATGAGGAGTTGGGTTATGACAGATGCTCAGAACTATTCAAATTCTAATATTACAACTCATTTGTGAAGCTTTTTTAAGTTGTCTCAGGCTGTACTGCTGCAAGTACTTGCAAAGGCAGCAACAGAAATGTCTTGTTTGCTTTGCCCTTTGAATCATTTTGGGAGCTGCAGCAACATGCTTGCAACAACACGAGTTGCAGTGCTATGCAATTAAGGTTGTGGTACTATCAGAACGTCTACGTGGAAGCAGCGGCAGTAACAGGAGATGCAATGGCGAGTCCTGATTGCCATGCAGGAGTGGTCTGCTCAAACACATGTGCGTACTTGAGAATGGTCGCCTGTGTAAAGAGGGAGGAGAGGGAGGAGAGGGGGCGTTGGTGGGCGGTGGGTGGTGGGGCACCTTGGAAGACAACTGGTCTGCTCAAACACATGTGCGTACTTGAGAATTGCCGCCTGTGGAAGGAGGGGGGAAGGGAGGGAGGGTTGTGGGGATCATGGGTGGTGGTGGGTGGGTGGTGGGTGATATGTAGGGATGAGCATGAGCATGAAGGTGGGTGATATGTAGGGATGAGCATGAGCATGAAGGTGGGTGATATGTAGGGATGAGCATGAGCATGAAGGTGGGTGATATGTAGGGATGAGCATGAGCATGAAGGTGGGTGATATGTAGGGATGAGCATGAGCATGAAGGTGGGCCAGGGCCCGCCCGGAGATGAGCATGAAGGTGGGCCAGGGCCCGCCCGGAGATGAGCATGAAGGTGGGCCAGGGCCCGCCCGGAGATGAGCATGAAGGTGGGCCAGGGCCCGCCCGGAGATGAGCATGAAGGTGGGCCAGGGCCCGCCCGGAGATGAGCATGAAGGTGGGCCAGGGCCCGCCCGGAGATGAGCATGAAGGTGGGCCAGGGCCCGCCCGGAGATGAGCATGAAGGTGGGCCAGGGCCCGCCCGGAGATGAGCATGAAGGTGGGCCAGGGCCCGCCCGGAGATGAGCATGAAGGTGGGCCAGGGCCCGCCTGGAAATGCCCCGGGTCGGCCATCATAATCTCGACGTGGGCCCGGGGCGGGCCGGGCTGGGCTGGCCCGGCCCGCCGGGCTGCAGCCGCCCGATTTTGGCCCGCCCATGTACGGGCCGGGCCGGGCCGCATCGGAGCGCAAAAATACATCCTGTGGGCGAATATAACAGCACCCTGGCCGGGCCGGCCCGGCCCGGGTCGGGCCATGCAGAGCCCGGGTCGGGCAGGGCACAGCCCGCCCGCCTTAGGGGCGGGCTCGGGCCAAAAGTTTCCTTCTATGGCCCGGGTCGGGCCGGGCCCTTTGATATGACACTTAAAATAACAACTGGATGCTCAAACACATGAATATCTTTTAGAGAATGGCAGCCTGTGTGGGTACCTCAGCAAAATGACAAACGATGATCTGAATGCCAACGGGCGGGCAGAGGGGCGGCTAATGAGGTTTTTCGAGAAACCAGACGATAAAAATCACATATGGGGCTGCTAAGAAATTCCCATGCATCTTGCTTCAAATGAAGCGAAACAAATTCAGCTCACCTCCGCAAAGGGAGCACCGATGATCTGAAGGCCGATAGGGAGGCCATGGGGCCCACCAGGGGCTAACCCGCAGAGCAGAGAAGTAGAGGTTGTGGGCAAAAACAATGATTACGACGCACACACAATTACACGGCTCACCTCAGCGAAGGGAGCGCCGATGATCTGAAGGCCGATGGGCAGACCATGAGGTCCACCAGGGGCTAACCCGCAGGGCAGAGAGATGGCTGGTAGACCCGCTAGGTTCACATTCACCTGCGGTGTGAAGGGGTATAGAGCAGTGGAGAAGGGTGGAGTGATGAAGGCGAGAGAGAGCTGAGGCGAACTGAAATGGATGAGCATGGGGATATGGCGAGTGACTTAAACAAGTGAGGACGGGAGATCAAAGAATGAGACGCAGAGAGATGAAGTTAGAAAAGGTTTGAGACAAGTCTGGGAGAAGTATGGGAGAGGTCTGGGAGAGGTCTGGGAGAGGTCTGGGAGAGGTCTGGGAGAGGTCTGGGAGAAGTAAGGGAGAAGTTTTAGAGGGCTGACCGTCATGAGGTCGCCAACATACATGGCGAGGGGGTCTGATGTCTTCTCACCTGCACGCATGGGCGGGCGGGAGGAAGCATTCAACAACCATATATCCCAAGTGTTACCACAGAGTTGCGGCCACGTATCGACACAGAGGCACCTCATAGGTGTTTGATCAGATGCCAACATACATGGCAAGGGGGTCTGATGCCTTCTCACCTGCACGCATGGGTGATAGGACACAGGAGACAGGAATTTTGGCAACCTAAAGGCAAGAATGAAAAGCAGAGCATGCAAAATGACACCGCTACAATGTTCACTTTCTTTTACTTAAAGACAATTTGAAAACCACCTAGTTTCACACGCTTATTAGTGCACTAGGCAGTGGTGGGAACAGAGGGAGTGGGAGAGCTTCGTCTCTTTCAAGAGCTGGGATGAAGGCTTCGCGCCAATGCTAAATTATAAGCTCACAAAACTTGCTGCTGGTGCAACCCTAGTGTGGTTACCAATGCTGTAGGCTGTGGTGGGCGCGGTGGGGGTGATGAGAGCATCGTGCCCCTCGAGTGCTGCCAGAAACTCCCGCCGAATCATCGTGCGCACCTGCCATGTAATGAGAGGGGGAGGTGACAAGAGGAGGTGGTGACGGGGGGAAGGGAGATGGGAAAAGGGGTGGGGAGGAGGCGAGAGGAAAGGGTGATGAGCGCGTCATGCCTCTCCAGTGCTGCCAGAAATTCCCGCCGAATCATCGTGCGCACCTGCCATGCCATGGGATGGGGAGGTGAGGAAGTGGGGGGTTAGATCATGGGGGAGCATGATGTTACCGAATTGTCGTGCATGCTTGTGATGAGAAGGGGTGGAGGTGAAGGGGGGAGGAGTTGAAAGGGGAAGGAGGTGAAGGAGATGGGTGAAGGAGGTGAAGGAGATGTGGAAGGAGTTGAAGGTGGTGACTGTTGGGGGAGGCTAGTTGTGGAGGATGATCAAAAGCCAAAGCATTGTGGGGGCTGAGCATTCTAGTAGATACGCATGTGGGAAAGGTAAGCTTCGAATGTGGGGCAAAAAGGTCGTTTTTGAGGCGCCTCAAAAACGACCTCAATGCACGCACGTGGGAAAGGTAAGCTTGGAATGTGGGGCAAAAAGGGGGCTACCGTTTGCGGCTTGTGACTGAAGAGATCTCGTAGCCTGCAGAGGGCGTATGTATTCATATGGGACAAATTTCTGAACATGAACCTGAAATGCACTTGAAAAAGCACCTGTAGCACCTCACCTGCTGTGCCTTCTTGTAGTAGGCATCATAATAGCCGGCAGAGAGTGCGTATGTGCCCATTAGAATGCGCCTCTTCACCTGCCACATCAACACAGGTAGGAAAGATAGAGAAGAGAGCACGTAAGATGTGGAAACCCTGGGGGAGAGAGGGAGGCACGTAGATATGAACACCAGTGCAAATGTGAAAAAGGTCCCTTGAACCCACTGATCCCCCTTGAATTCCTCATCTTTAAAACCCGCAGGCCAAGATATTCAACCTTAGGAAGGTTGGTTGGGAGTTGCTAGACGAGGTGTTATAAACTCGGGAGAATCACAGGCGTTTTTGGGACACCCAACCAACACTAGGAAGGATGAACCAAATTTGGCCTTCTTGACCCACGGGTTTTAAGTATCACCTTGCGCAACCTCTCAAAGCAACATTTCTCTCCAAATGCTCACTTCCCGCCAACTGCCCACCTCCTTGCCAAAGCCCTGGCCTCGAGTGTTGCTGTAGAGGGACGTGAGGTCCGTGCCTGGCTGCTGGGGTCCAAACCTGCACAGGAAGACGGAGTGGAGTGGAGAATGATGTGTTAATTGCAAAGGGCACTCGCGCGACTCTGCACCTGCGTCGAACCGCTTCTGTTTGACACAGCTCTTGCTCTTGATGTTTCTGAGCCACACTAGACGCCCCCGAACCAAATCGACTCAAACCAGCGAGGAAAAAAGAAGAAGAGAGAAACAAAGAAAGAAAGGAAGAAAAGTTCGGTTTACAAAGAACACCGGGTTGCCTAGAGCCGAATCTTGGTTCGGCTTTTCCTCGTGTTTATTCCACATCGGGGAAGGGAAGGAGAGGGGGAGAGGAGAAGAAGAGGGATGGGGGAGGGCGCACCTGATGCCGTCGTAGCGAGAGAGATTTGAGGAGGCTTCAGAGGGTGCGAGGATATAGTATGCTGGCAGGCCACTGGCGAAGAACGGCATGGACACCTCCTCCACGGTGGCTCCTAGCGTCTCGTAGTGCGCCGCCGCCGCCCGGACGGCCTGCACCACGTCAGCATCAACGCCAGCGCCCATGGTCTCCTGGACTAATGCGAAGCGGACACCTGTCAGCGGCTTGGAGCCGAGCGAGGCGACGGGGAGGAGGGCTGCCGTGTAGTCTGGTACTGGCTGGCCGGGGAGAGGGTTATGGGAATGGGGAGGGGTGCGGGGGACAGAAGAAATGCTCAGGGTAAACGGAGGAAGGAGAGGGAAGAATGACTCCTGGCTGGGATTTTTTTTCTAAAAAAAACCCTGGAACATCAAGGATGTGAAACCTTGTTGTGTGGGTCCATGCAATGACTCATGCAGCAAGCCCAGTGCAGCACGCCCAGTGCAGCACGCCCAGTGCAGCACGCCCAGTGCAGCACGCCCAGTGCAGCACGCCCAGTGCAGCACGCCCAGTGCAGCACGCCCAGTGCAGCACGCCCAGTGCAGCACGCCCAGTGCAGCACGCCCAGTGCAGCACGCCCAGTGCAGCACGCCCAGTGCAGCACACCCAGTGCAGCACGCCCAGTGCAGCACGCCCAGTGCAGCACGCCCAGTGCAGCACGCCCAGTGCAGCACGCCCAGTGCAGCACGCCCAGTGCAGCACGCCCAGTGCAGCACGCCCAGTGCAGCACGCCCAGTGCAGCACGCCCAGTGCAGCACGCCCAGTGCAGCACGCCCAGTGCAGCACGCCCAGTGCAGCACGCCCAGTGCAGCACGCCCAGTGCAGCACGCCCAGTGCAGCACGCCCAGTGCAGCACGCCCAGTGCAGCACGCCCAGTGCAGCACGCCCAGTGCAGCACGCCCAGTGCAGCACGCCCAGTGCAGCACGCCCAGTGCAGCACGCCCAGTGCAGCACGCCCAGTGCAGCACGCCCAGTGCAGCACGCCCAGTGCAGCACGCCCAGTGCAGCACGCCCAGTGCAGCAAGCCCAGTGCAGCAAGCCCAGTGCAGCACGCCCAGTGCAGCACGCCCAGTGCAGCACGCCCAGTGCAGCAAGCCCAGTGCAGCACGCCCAGTGCAGCACGCCCAGTGCAGCACGCCCAGTGCAGCAAGCCCAGTGCAGCAAGCCCAGTGCAGCACGCCCAGTGCAGCACGCCCACCCACACAGTCCTGGCCAGGGCGACTGCTGGGCTGGGGCCCAGCCCAGTGTAAGCACCCCACTTCTCTCCACATCGCGCTGGCCTGAAGACATATGCATGAGCCGTGAAGACATATGCATGAGCCGTGAAGACATATGCATGAGCCGTGAAGACATATGCATGAGCCGTGAAGACATATGCATGAGCCGTGAATAAAATCGCCCCAAGGTGCCACAAACCTCCACTTCTCACCTCCTTGCTGCACGTGCTGTCCCCGTCGTCTCTCCCAGCCATCGCCTGCAGCACGATCGCTGTGTCTTCCACCGATCGACCCGGCACGCCCACACAGTCCAGGCAAGAGGGCTTCAGAGCACTTGATGTCCTTGCTGCACTTAACCACCCTCTACCCACCACTCACTCACCTCCTTGCTGCACTTAACCGCCCTCTACCCACCACTCACTCACCTCCTTGCTGCACTTAACCGCCCTCTACCCACCACTCACTCACCTCCTTGCTGCACTTAACCGCCCTCTACCCACCACTCACTCACCTCCTTGCTGCACTTAACCACCCTCTACCCACCACTCACTCACCTCCTTGCTGCACGTGCTGTCCCCGTCGTCTCTCCCCGCCATCGCCTGCAGCACAATGGCTGTGTCCTCTACTGATCGCCCCAGCACGCCCACACAGTCCAGGCTGGACGCATACGCCATGAGCCCCAGGCGCGACACTCGGCCGTACGAGGGCTTCAGACCCACTATGCCACAGAAGGACGCTGGCAGACGCACGCTGCCACCTGGGAGTATGGGGTTGAGGGGGTGGGGGAATGAGGGTTTTACATGGACGGGAGGTTGGATGCATACACCATGAAGCCCAGCCGGGAGACACTGCCATAGGAGGGCTTCAGACCCACTATGCCACAGAAGGACGCTGCCACGTGGGAGAGGGTGCGAATGAGGGAGGGGTTGGGGTGGGGTGGGGTATGGGTAGGGGTGTGTGTGGCATACACCCCATGAGCCCAAGCACGCCCACGCAGTCCAGGCTGGACGCATACGCCATGAGGCCCAGGCGGGAGACCCGGCCGTACGAGGGCTTTAAGCCAAATATCCCGCAGAATGAAGCTGGCAGGCGTACACTGCCCTCTGGGAGAGAGCGAGAGAAAGAGAGCACACATGAGGGGGGGGGGTGGAGAGGGGTGGGTGGGGATGGGTTGGGGTGTGCAGGGTGTGGTGGCAGTGGCACGCACCCCATGAGACCAAGCATGCCCACGCAGTCCAGGCTAGACTCATACGCCATGAGACCCAGGCGGGAAACACGGCCGTAAGAGGGCTTTAAGCCAACTATGCCGCAGAATGACGCAGGGAGACGCACGCTGCCCCCTGGGAGAGAGCAAGGATGCGGGATACGGTGGGGTAGGGTGGAGGTGGGTAGGGGTGTGGCGGCATTGGCATACACGTCACGAGACCAAGCACGCCCACGCAGTCGAGGCTAGACGCATAGGCCATGAGACCCTGGCGGGAGACACAGCGGTAGTGCTCACGCCTACATCACACGACACAATATATAATCACACGCCTCCCACCTTCTTATCCCTCCGCTCACCTGTATCAGGGCCCAGATCCACGGCTGCCCGGCCACCACAGCAGGAGCAGCAGATGCAGATGAGCAGTGCGCCGTGCAGTGCAGTGCGCACCTCCACCGCTGGAGGAGGCGCCCTGCCCCTCACAGCAGGAGCAGCAGATGCAACAGCCTGAGCCAACTCCCTTGGGTTTCCCCCCTCACCCGCCACCACCAACACCCCTTCCCTCACTCACCCGTGTCAGAGCCCAAAGCTACAGCACACTGCCCAGCCGCCACAGCAGCGGCAGAGCCTCCTGAACTGCCGCCTGGCACTCGCGAGAGATCCCAGGGGTTGGTTGTCACCTAGAGGGGAGTTGGGGAGAGGGAGAGAGAGAGAGGCGAAAAGAGTGGAGAGATTAGGGCCAACCTTTTGAGTCGACTCAAAGCTAGAGGGGAGTTGGGGAGAGGGAGAGAGAGAGAGGCGAAAAGAGTGGAGAGATTAGGGCCAACCTTTTGAGTCGACTCAAAGCTAGAGGGGAGTTGGGGAGAGGGAGAGAGAGAGAGGCGAAAAGAGTGGAGAGATTAGGGCAAACCTTCCCCTCCCTCCCCAAGGGGTGGAGAGATTGTGTGAGGAAGCGTCGGGGAAGGAAGGGAAGTCTCACACAACGCTTCCCCTCCTTCCCCAAGGAGGTATCAATCAACTGCCAATTGATAACTGGAAGTATACAAACTGCGACACAATGACAGGATGACAAAACACATGCACTCATGCATACATGCATACATGCAAACATGCACTTATGCATAGACGCACGTTACCTGGTAACCAGAGCCCTCAGTGGTGCTGCCAATGCCAACCAAACTCGTCCATGTTGGTGCCGACACATGCACTCGCAGACAGACACACATGTGCATGCGCACACACACAAACATATGTTACCTGGTAACCCGCCCCCTCAGTGGTGCTGCCCATGCCAAACTCGTCCATGTTCGTCTTCCCCACCACCACCGCCCCCTCTGTCTTCACCCCACCGCCCACCACCTGACTGTTGGCCAACAAAGGGCGCACACGCACTCACGCACAGACGGGCGTTACCTGGTAACCCGACCCCTCAGTGGTGCTGCCCATGCCAAACTCGTCCATGTTTGTCTTCCCCACCACCACTGCCCCCTCCGCCTTCACCCTCCCCACCGCTGTTGCATCGTATGGCGGCATGTATCCCTGCGGTGTGGTGGATGGGTGGGGAGATACAGAGAGCAACACACACACAAGAAATGCAGAGAAGAAAAGAGCGCATACTAGTTTGCCTTCCCCACCACCACCACCACCACCGCACCCTCCGCCTTCACCCTTCCCACCGCTGTCGCATCGTATGGTGGCATGTAGCCCTGAGGTGGAGTGAGATACGACGCAATGGGGATGGCGATTCAGAAAGCAGCACATGCACACTTGTCAATCTTTCCCACCACCACTGCCCCCTCCGCCTTCACCCTTCCCACCGCTGTTGCATCGTATGGCGGCATGTAGCCCTGCGGTGTGGTGGATGGGTGGGGAGATACAGAGAGCAACACACGCACAAGAAATGCAGAGAAGAAAAAAACGCATACTAGTTTGCCTTCCCCACCACCACCACCGCGCCCTCCACCTGCACCCTCCCCACTGCTGTTGCATCGGACATGTATCTCTGTGGTGGAGTGACGTGGGGGACACGAACAAACACACACAACAAGCTGAGTCGGCACATGCAACAAACACACACAACAAGCTGAGTCGGCACATGCAACAAACACACACAACAAGCTGAGTCGGCACATGCAACAAACACACACAACAAGCTGAGTCGGCACATGCAACAAACACACACAACAAGCTGAGTCGGCACATGCAACAAACACACACAACAAGCTGAGTCGGCACATGCAACAAACACACACAACAAGCAACACATGCACACTTGATGGTCCTCCCCACCCCACCACCACCGTGCCCTCCGCCTTCACCTCTCCACTGCTGTCGCATCGTATGGCGGCGGCATGTAGCCCTTCAGTGGTGTGATGTAGTGTAGCGGTTACACGAAGAAACACACACAAGCGATTCGATTCGCACACTAGCAAAAAATGAAGGATGGAAGTGGGAGCAACATGACCAAGCGTTGGGGGATTGAGGGTCTTCCTGCAAGCGCTTGCAAGCGCTTGGCACATCAGCATCCGCCACGTCAGCAGACCTTGAGGATCTTAGAGGCAGCGGTGGAGGGCATGCCACGTGTGCACAGGTTGTCCTTCACCCCCATGGGCACTCCGGTCAGCAGCCCCAAATTTTTCTCCCCGCTGCCCGACTGAGATGCCAGGGCAGCATCCACTTCCCGTGCCTGCTGCAGGACTGCCTCCCTGCAGGAGATTGCGATTTGGGAGAGGGGTGGAGAGGAGTGGAGAAAGGTGGAGTGGAAAGAGTCAAGGGGGCGAAAGTCCTTCACAGGTATCACAGAGTCTCACAATCTCATCAGTGAGCGGCAATTGCCTACTGTTAGGTGGGGAACCCGAAACTACCACAAGAGAAACTGGTCTGCCTACCTTGTCAGGGGTTCAGGGTTCAAGGATTAGGATTGAATTGAAGGTGGTTCAAGGGCCTCAGAGTGTTTAGCGCCCCCTTATGGTACAACATATTCTGGTTTTACTCAAGAGCTGACCTTGGTCGCCTTGCATTGCCATCAATCAAGTTGACACAGAACAGACCTTTCACAGCTTCTCAGTGATCCCAATCCACTGTCCTACAGAACAGACCTGTCACAAGGAAGCTTTCTGACCTTATCAGGGAAATTACCTGTCGGTGTGGAGGAAGCTTCTCAGCTGCCCCTCCTGCGCCTCCAGCCGCTCCAGATACTCCTCCGCCACGCCGACAGCTGTCCGCTCGCCATTCGCCAGCTGGCGCTGCACGGTTGGAGGAGAGGGGTTGGTGGAGAGGGGTTGGGAGGGATGGGGTTGGGAGGGATGGGGTTGGGAGGGATGGGGTTGGGAGGGATGGGGTTGGGAGGGATGGGGTTGGGAGGGAATGGGGTTGGAGGAATGAAATTGGAGGGAGTGGGTGGGTGGGGCGAAGTGGGTGATGGACAAGGAGAGAGGAAGGGGGAAAGCCATGAGGGAGGCATAAGGGGGTAGAGGGATGAGTGCTCGAAACAGGAGGAAGGAGGCCCGGGGTGAAGGAGGGGGAGAGAGGGAGAAAGGGAAGAAGGGGAAGAAGAGGGCCAGGGGGGGAAGATGGGTCGATCAACACTGAATGAGGGTTGACGCCTGCCTAATGGTCTACGACCTCCTTCCCCGCCCCCTCTTCCCCACCCACCCACACTTCTTCCCCTCCACTTTTCCCCCACCTCCGCTCTCCACTTGCTGCATTGAGATCGCAAGGTCGAGATATGATGCGAGAGGTTGCACGGGTTGACGGCAGCCCTTCCTACCCTCGCCTCCCCACCATCCTCGCCCTCCCTCGCTCTCCTCCTCCCCTCGCTCCCCCTCTCCCCCTCGCTCCGCTCCTCATTCCGTCCCTCTTTGATTCAACGCGCAAGGTCACGATCGCGAGTGAAGTACCTGAATTTCACGAATGGCGGAATGCGGCCGTTGCGATTCGCCACTGGTAGCTGAGCTGGCCGACACGTCATCAGCTCCTGCTGCTGCCACGGCTCGGACGACGGAACTGCGATGCCGCCGATGGAGCAATCTCGACCGTTCGTCTGTGAGAAGAGGGGTTCCGCGCCAGAGAGGAGATCTGCCAATGCCGGCTCGACACGTGGCTGTGAGTGACGCGCTGACGTTTGATCCGCCGCAAGGCACGGGAGAGAGGCGGGAAAGAGAGAGAAGGTGCTGCGGCGAACGCAGCAGTTGATGGCACGTCATTTTCCCAAGGGCTGACGTGGCGGTATTCCTGAGAGGTGTTGCAGGCAGGAAAGCGTAGATCAAAATTGCGGGAGCGGCCGAGGTGACCAGAAACATGTGGGAGAACGATACGCGGCATATGCTTTTCGTCAAATGTACAAACGTTGAGAAAAAATATCATCGTCAATAGAAAGACAATGATTTACTAATCAGTCAAGGCATAACATCTCTTACAAAAAGAAATAGCTTAGATCAACACATACATTAGCCTGCCAGAAAAAATCCCCGATTTGTCACCCCTCCCTCACTTCCCTTCTTCGTTAGTGCATTAGACCACTACTCCAGAGTAAGTGCACATGCTTTTTTGTGTGCGTCCCTCGCCACAGTTCAGCTGGGTGAGAGAGAAGCTCCCACTGCCGCCATCCATGTACCCATCCATACCCAGGGGCCAGGGGGCCGCCTGGCAGCCCAGCTCATCCGTCGAAGCCCAGCTCATCCCATATCATTTGACATGAGAGTCACATCACATCACAGTATGAGTTCGACATCTTCATTGCTTTGCCACTGCAGCGCCCGGCACAACAACACCAGCATCTCCATTGCCATCCCCCCGCACCCCACTCATGAGAATTGCCAAAAGCGTCATCCCTATGTGCTACCGCAGCACGGTGCCGCCAACGATCTTCCAGCAGGTGCCGGTCTGCAGCACACACCCACCGCATCGTCCACTCACAGCAGCACACCGCAACCCCACAGCACAAGCCTCTAAATCACCACACACTATCGCAGCACAGTACCGCCGACGATCTTCCAGCAGGTGCCGGTCTGCAGCAGCTCGTACCGCGCCGTGTACGTGCTTCTGTACGCATCGTTGTGGGTCGGGTCCGCTGCATCCACCAGCCGTGCCGCCTCCTGCACCACTGCCTCTACTACTGCCTTCTTCTGACACTTGCTCACTGCTGCCATCTCCACCTGTGGGGGAGCAGAGAGGGAGGAAGGGAGGAAGGGAACAAGGGAGCGAGAGTGGGAGGGCCATGAGTCGGGTCCGCTGCATCCACCAACCGCGCTGCCTCCTGCACCACTGCTTCCACCACTGCCTTCTTCTGACACTTGCTCACTGCTGCCATCTCCACCTGCGGCCAAAGGAGGGGATGAAGGAAGTACACAATGGAAGGGCAGTAAGACAGAGGCGGAACATGGACATGCATCCACCGGCCAGCCGCGCCGTCTCAAAAGGCGCAAACACAGTACAACTCACATTGAGGCTGAGGAAGCTGTATTCCCAGAACCACCCGTTGTTCTCCACCTCCTTGGCTCTGTTCCCCCACAGCTCCAGCATCGGCCCCTCCAGGATCGACTTTTGAGCCGTGTCAAGAGGAACAGACACAACACAAGTCACATCAAGGGATAGAGACCTCTACTCACATTGAGGCAGAGGAAGCTGTATTCCCAGAACCACCCGTTGTTCTCCCCCTCCTTGGCTCTGTTCCGCCTCAGCTCCAGCACGGACCCTTCAGGATCGAGTGTCGAGCCGTAACCCAGTACACTTCACATTCCGGCTTTAAAGCCTCAACTCACATTGAGGCTGAGGAAGCTGTATTCCCAGAACCACCCGTTGTTCTCCACCTCCTTGGCTCTGTTGCGCCACAGCTCCAGCATAGGCCCCTCCAAGATCTCCCCCAGCCGGTCCACTCGGTGCTGCGGGCCCAGCGCTGCCGCCTTCACCTCCTGCCAGTGCCTCACCACGCGCACCGCCCACTGCACCTCCTCCACTTCGGAATATTCCTCTGCGCCTGCTGCTGCTTCTGAAAGTATAGAGTGAGCAATAGCAGCACGAGGAGGAAAGAGTGGGGAAAGTGAGGGGCAAAGAGTGAGTGTGATCTGCAGGGTGTGATCTGCAGGGTGTGATCTGCAGGGTGTGACTGCGTGATAAAGGTAACATTTTGAGAGGCAAAGAGTGAGTCTCAAAATGTTACTTTTATCACAAGGGGCAAAGAATGAGTGTGATCTGCAGGGTGTGACTGACTGGCCCAGCTCTGCCGCCTTCACCTCCTGCCAGTGCCGCACCACCCGCACTGCCCACCGCACCTCCTCCACCTCGCTGCACTCCTCTGCACCTGCTGCTACCTCTGGCAGCAAAGAAGGAGGGCAAAAAGAGGAACAACGAAGTGATGAGATGGCAATCAGCCAGTGTCACGGATGAGAGGGGAGTGGGGAGCAGAGAGAGGAGAGAGGGAGAGGAGAGTGAGTGAGAGTTGTGGAGAGGAGTGTGGGGAGCAACGACCAACCCCCCTGCCCCCCCACCACAGCACCTCAAACAGCATTGTGGCCACCACAACCTCAAACACCACGTTGCATGAACAACCATTCTACTCATCAGAGACTGCCTGCTCCTTGCCCTGCCCCACCATCTCCCCCTCCACGCCCAACAGCGACCGCCCAAACTGCCCCGATCGCATGCGCCATGCCATAAACCCCAAACCGCAAACCTCAAGCCCAACAACCATACCCGCCTCAACCGCACTTTTGTGGGTGAAACAACCTTCGCTCTCACCAGAAGCCGCCTGCTCCTTGCCCTGCGCCCCCCGCTTCCACCCCCAGCAGCGACAGACAGCTCAAACCGCCCCGACCGCAACGACAACCCAAACCTCTGTGGATTTAACACCCTCCCACTCACCAGAAGTCGCCTGCTCCTTGGCCTGCTGCCCCACCATCGCCGCTTCCACTCCCAGCAGCGACGGCCCAAACCGCCCCGACCGCATGCGCCACGCCGTGAACCCTCCCCCCGCCACCACCGCCGCCGCCGCCACCCCTGCCACCACCATTCCCACCTTCCCGCCAAATCTACCCCTGCCACTGCTGCTCCCAGGTTCGGTTCCGGATATTCCCAAGGTGGGGAGGGATTCGGGTTGGGCGGTGCGGAGGGGGATGGGCGAGCCTTGGGGGTCGAGGAGGGGTGAGGCGCCGAAGAGCTCTCGTCTGGTGCGTGATCGGGCGAGTTCTGCTGGTGGGAGCGACGAGGACGGGTCTTGTAACGAGTCGTCTTGTAACGAATCGGTGGGCAAGGGTGGGGAGAGGGAGGAGGAGGTGGTGGTGGTAGTGGTAGTGGCTGATGTGGAAACGATGAAAGGATTTTCGACTGCCGCTCCTGCTGCTGCTGCTGCTGCATCACCCCCTCCTTGCATCCACGGAAACACCCCTCGAATCACCTCCATAGCAGCATTCCGCATCCCGCCGCCCTCCCCTCTTCCACTTTCCCCCACCTTCCCTCCTCCCCCCCCACCCTGCGACTGATCCCACGCATCCAAGAAACTCCCTACAGCAGGATGATCAAAGTACTCAGAGAGAACAACAGGGAGGTGGGACGTGTCTCGGAACCGCATGGCTACGACCTCTCTTAGCCACACCTCCAGCAAGCGGCACAGCCCCGGTAAAAGCACATCCTCCTCGCCTGCCCCCGCTCCTCCCGCTCCTGCTGCCACTTTTGCTCCGCCTGCAGCCGTGGTGATTATGCTAGGAGCTGTGCTGTTACCTGTGCTGCTACCTGTACTGCTGCTGCTACTTCCTGCACCGCTGCTGCCGCCGTACCACGAGTCAACCGGAGGGGCATTAGGCGAGTTGGCATAGACATACTGGGCGACAGCAAGGTCGCCACAGGGAGGGGTCACATGCACGCCCAGCCATTGCTTGCACGCGCCCACCTGCCCCAGCAGCAGCGCGCACATCGCCCTCTCCACTGACAGATCCGCTGGCACGTCTGTCCCTGCCACCATCGCCATTGCACTCCCCGCCCCACCTTGCACCCGCTCTCCCGCTCCTGCCCCTGATCCTCCTGCTGCTCCTGCTTCTCTTCCTGCTGCGCTTCCTGCTATCACTCCTGCTTCGCCTGCTCCCCCACCCTCTCTGGCCAATCCTCCCCCGCCACCTGTCCCCGCCACCGCCCCGGCCACTCCGCCGCCCGCCTCCCCCACCCCGCCGCCCGTGCTCACGTTAACCAACAAACGGTACGCGGTGGACTCGTTCAGCTCCTTGAGCAGCGCGTCAGACTGGACGATGTCGGCCGGGCGGCGCAGGAAGAAGCCCCGGCCGGCAAAGGCGAGAGCCACCCAGTAGGCCTCGAGGATGCCGGCGTCGACGTGCGGCGGGGCGGCAGCGAAGTGGGCGATGAGCTCGGAGGTAGTGAGGCGCAGGAAGGCCTCCCGCATGAACACATGGCGGGAGAAACCGCCCTGGGAGGCGAATGACAGTGCTCCGTCTGGGCTTTGGGACCAGAGCAGGTCCCTCATGGCCTGGTGGGAGGAAGAAGAACGGAGGGAGAGAGGGGGAAAGAGGAAGTGGGAGACAAGTGGGCGATGAGCACGGAGGTCAGAAAGTCCCGCATGGCCTGAGGGGGAAAGAGGAGAGGCAGCGCAAAGTGGGCGATGAGCTCCGAGGTTGTGAGGCGCAGGAAGGCCTCCCGCATGAACACATGGCGGGAGAAACTGCCTTGAGAGGAAAAGGAGAGAGTGCCCTCAGGGTTCTGGGACCAGAGGAGGTCCCGCATGGCCTGGTGGGGGGAAAGAGGAAGCATAAGCCAAGTGAGCGATGAGGTGGGAGGTCAGGAGGTCCTACACCTGTATGCCTCAGTTCAGCTAACTCCCAGACTCAGCTGCTACGACTTGCACCCGCTCACCCACCCCCCCCTCTTACCTGTACGCCCTCGCCCCACCCATTCTCGTGGTCCTTGTCCAAGGGACCTACCCACCCATCCACCCATCCACCCATCCACCCACCCATCAGCCCACCGCCCACCTGTATGCCCTCGCTCCGGGCGTCCTCGTGCTCCTTGTCCAGGGGCAGCGCCAGCAGCTCCAGCACGCGTGTGGGGCCCATCTCCCTCAGCGAGTCCTCTATGGCCGCCTGCAGGGACGGCGCCAGGCTTGGCCCGCCCTCGTCCTGATGGGGGGAGGAGGGTAGGTGGACAGACACGGGAGAAGCCTTCAACGACATGGGGTACAAAGAGGGCACGCGTGTGGGCCCCATCTCCTGCAGCGAGTCCTCTATTGCTGCCTGCAGGGACGGCGCCAGCCCTGGTCCGCCCTCGTCCTGACGAAGAGGAGGTGGAAAGGCAGGGTAGAGGCTTATATGACAGGGGTAACAAAAGCACGCGTGTTGGGCCCTTCTCCCTCAGCGAGTCCACTATCGCTGCGTGCAGGAACGGCGCCAGCCCTGGTCCGCCCTCGTCCTGAGGAAGGGGAGAGACAAGAAAAAGGGGAAAAGGGGAGCGGAGGAGGGTTGCGGGCACAAGGAGGACGTTTGTGTTTGAGAAGCTTCGACCCGGCGACTCCTCTATTGCCGCCTGCAGGGAGGGATGGCGTCAGCCCTGGCCCGCCCTCGTCCTGATGGATAGGGAAGAGGAAGAGGGGGAGGAAGAGAGGAGGAGGACGGTACCAGGAAAAAAGTTTGGGTTTGATTTGAGGAGCTTCAAACAAGGATGGGGGGCAGACATGGGCCCCGTTCGTCCTGAGAAGCGGGAAAGGGGATGACGTGAGAATGTGAGGATAAGAGGCAGACAAAGAGGCGGAGGCAGGGCGGCACGGCACGGGGGTGAGGAATGAGCAGTGAGACAGAGGAAGTCTGAGTGGAGGGATGGGCGGATTCTTGAAGAGAGGGGATTAGCAGACAAAACGAAGGCGTCCTGAGCTTAGATCAACACACACCATTTGGAACCAGAACCTCACACCCTAAACCCCCGAACCTCGGGTCAAAGCCTTCCCACGCACACTCACTTGCAGAAGCTTCAGCGCAGCTTCCAGCAGCTCGCAGCCCTGTGCCACTGCAGGCGGGTCTGCTGACATGGCATCGCGCGACAGGTCTGAGTACGCCAACGCTGTGGCGAGTGCCACGTCAGCACGGAAAGCAGGATCGCCATCCGGGCGGGAGAGGAGGTCGAGGCCCGCCTCTGCCACGTCAGCAGAGCGACCCGCCTCTTGCAGCAGGCACAACACGCCAGGGACCTGGGAAATATATGGACAATAACACAGCCCTACATGTAAACATCAAACTTATGTACATATAGAGAGCTGTAGGTATTGCGAGAAAGTGACAGCTGAAAGAACACAAGAATTCATGACAGACAAGCAACCTACCAGTTTCAGGAGGAGAAACGAGGTGGGAAGAGAAATAACAACAACTCACCCGGCTCATGGGAACATCAACCATGATCGCAGTCTCGCCCCCGTACTCCCCTCCACCCCTCCCCACACCCCCCAACCCCTGCTGCTGCTCTGCAGCTGCTGCCTTCAGGTCCTCATCATACTCTGCCCGGAGCTCCAGATCCAGCAGCGTGTCCCGGGCAGCCTCCAAAACTTCCGCCCTGACCGTGAGGGCGGAGACGGTGAAGCCTTCTTGAGGCGGCGAGGCGAGCATGGAGTCTAGCATGAGGTCGATGGTGGCTGTGGGGGTTTCGGGGTGAACTCTCAGCACCTGGAGAGTTGGGGGGGTGGGTTATAAGCATATGGAGTGGTGAGAGAAACAGGCGAGCATGGAGTCGAGCATGAGGTCGATGGTGGCTGTTGGGGTCTCGGGGTGGACTTGTAGCACCTGGGGTGGTAAAGGGAGAGGGGGGTGGATGGGGGTTGGGTGGGGTAGCTCGGGAAGTGATGAGAGGTGATGCGAGTATGGAGTCGAGCATATGAGTTCGATGGTGGCCATGGGGGTCTCGGGGTGGACTTATAGCAGCTGGAAGGGAGAGAGGTGGGAGTGGTGGATGGGCTTTGTGCAGTGGTGGGGAGGGGAGGATGGTGAGGCGAGCAGGGAGTGGAGCGTGAGGTCGATGGTGGCCGTGTGGGTCTCGGGGTGCACTCGCAGCACCTGGGTATACTTTCCGATGCTCTAAGTAACAGGACCGTCGTACGCGGTACGAGCAGCATTCTGGCGATCAGTTTATGTGGTTAAAAACACATGTTGGCAACAGCAGAGGCTATGAGTGTGCGCAACCATGTGAGGCTGCAAGTGCAACAGCGGGTGTTATCAGAATAGGAGGATCGACTTTCAGCGTCAATGCACAGATTGTCTTCAGGAAACGAAACACAGTAAACAATAAAGGAACAGTTTGCCTCCGTACAAGCTACGCGCATTCGGTTAACAGCTACAGGCATCCGTAAACACACAAGCCACTTTAATTTCTGCATTAAACTCTAGTGCCGTACCTCGTAATAACTTATCGGAAGGCTCATAAACGGTTCGTCTCCTCCATTTTCGTCCGCGTCGTAAACGGACACCGTCGAATTGTTCGTTTCCGTCACAACACCGCCTCCGACTCTTCCTCCATCCGCGCCATCCGCGGCGGAATACGCGGCCGCCACGCAACAACGCCGAGTAAGACCCTCAGCTTGAAACTTGACTCGCCTCACATTGTGCACCGCACGACAGGTGCTATTGGAATTAAAATTAGAGGTTAAAACGCTTCGCGACACTCGCGGTACCCCGCAAAAACTGGACAGTCTGAGAATGGTGCCTGCGGTGGTTGCGATGGTGGGTGTCTGAGCCTGATTATGGCCGTGTGGCCTCTTATTTCCTTGTTGTTGCGAACGTATAGAAGCACTAACGGAGTTATGGTAAGTAATGTTTTGATCATTACTAAGCTTCGATGTGAGAGGGCAACTCGAGGGGAAATTAGACTGCAATCTGGCAACCCGGGAGGCGGTAGCAACGCTAGTTCCTGCCATGTTCTTCTTAGCTAAGCAGTGAAGACTTCCCGAAGAGATAAATATGTTTGTTGTCAGTGTGAATAATGAAATGGCCGATACATGTAAGAAACTCTGCCTCGCCCAATGATCTGACCCTTATGAGCCGTAGTTTTTCCGAAACTAGATACCGGCCACTAAATCAACCGCCTAACTAAGATTAGTCTGCTAAACTGGTAAGCCAAGACTGAGAAGCAGTTGGACCTGAGCCCCAGTCCAGGTGCTTCATGGATATGCGGGAGAACAGTGCGTATTGTTTCTGTGTGGTTACCACGCGTTCTGCGACATCTTGGTTCTGCTGCGAAGATTTTTGGGCTTGGCGGGAAATTCGAAGTTCCCGCCAAGCAGATCGAGAGAGGTTCCTTGGGGTTGGAAGGATGGATGACTGACAGGTGGGTTGCTTGGGCTTGTGAGATTGTGTGTGCGAAAATCGCGGACACCAAGTTTGCTAAATAATAGAGGACGGCAGCCATAGAGCAAACTTTGAGAAGCATTCTCATGTGAGATATTATAATTGTGTGCTGGTGAGAAGGCCTAGAAAGAGGGTGTATTGTATCGGGGTTGGAGTTGCTAAACTGTACCCTACCCTGCCTGTCCATATTTGAGTGGCCCCGGAGAGACGAGTGATTCCAGCCGACCAAACGTCATGGCGAACGGGCAGACTGGCCTCTGGGATGCCATCTTGCGGCGGATCAGTGAATCAGTGCCTTTTTGCCAGAGGGCCCGGAAGATTACGCTCATCTGCAGGAATACACGTGGTGGACACAGCTTGGCTGCGAAGATGTGGTGGGGCGTCGGCGTCCCAGGGTTACGTGGCAATGTCGTCAGTGAAAAGCCGCCCTTCGGGCGTTGCGGCTTGGGGTTGAAGTTCACGCACATGGCCCTGCGAAAAGCCACTCATGTCCGCGGCTGGCGAACGGAGCGATTAAGTAACATCTCATTGCGACAAGCTGTCGAACGCTAGCGGTGTTTCCAACGATTTCATGGGAACCAGCGGTGTTTCCAACGATTTCATATCCACCATAGAATCCACCCCAACTCCCCTGCTTGTTCACACCCAATTCAGCCATATCGGAGTCTACCCCCTGCAAGATTTGCACCATTCAAACTTCCTATCTTTCTGGTAGTGACGAGCTTCGTCCTCCTTACACGAGGCAAGTTCGCCATACCATTTTTCCAGAGGGCAGGAGCATAGGCTCGTGTCCGTTAATTCTCTCTCCGTATATTTCAATCCTATTTTTATTCGACTCTCCTATTCTCCCCTGTCGAATCCCGTTTTCTCGTGATGGCGACTGCAGCAGCAGCAGCAGCCCTGGTTTGCCCGATGCGAGGCCTCCCTGCCTTACGTTTAGACACAACAGCCAGCAACGGCGTGACCACTGCCACCTCCCTCTCATCGCACACCGTCCTCTCATCCGCAGTCTCACCTGCTACTCCCTCGCTGCGCGCCGAGCCGAGCAGCTTCTGCGGAGCGTTCGCGGAAGCGTCCCGCCAGCAGCTTGCCGGCCGGAGGTACTCAAGCCACCGTCAGAGCCCTTGCAGCTTGGTGTTCCCAAATTCGTCGGATGCTGACGTGTCAGTTTCAGCCTCGTGGCACTCGTGGCGAACGGGTGCAACGTCGCGATGGGCTGGAAGCATGGTGGCAGGCGTTGCGCACAGAGGACATCGCCGCGCTTTGGTGACAGTAACGGGAGGTCCAAGTTCGTCGGGTAGACATGGCGGCGACAGTAAAAAGTGTGACAAGAGCAAAAGAACACCCGTTCCTTCCCAGGGGAACCTGCCCGCGTCTAGGGTTGGCAGAAACGAATTTTCATCCAATCAGGGGAGGCAGAGCGGCGAGGATACTACCTCGAGGCGGTTAACAACCTCCGCTTTTTCCTCACCATCGGGATCCCACCGAATCGCGCCTCCGCAGTCATCACCGCTTCACCGCTCGCCATCAAAGAAAGCACCATCCGCAGCTGAAGTAGCTTCATCCCCTTCTGTCGCCACCGGCGCCGCCGCTGGAGTGGCTTCTGCGTATCTGTCTACCTCCACCGCAACCACGGCAATCACTACCACTAACAGCTCACAAATGCCTTCCCCGTTTCCCGGCTCGTTCCAAGCGTCCCTTGAAGCCTCCTATTCGGCCTCGCTTCCGCTCACCGTGCCGCATCTCGCGGCGCCTCTCGACCTAAGCCCGCACGCGCACCGCCAGACGCGGTTCGCGGTGGCTCTGGCGGCGCAACTGTCGCTCTTCTCCGTGCTCGCGCTGCTACAACCCGTCTCCGCGCTCGCCCTTGCGCAATCCGCGCAGACATCCTCCCGTCGTTCTTCCGCCTCCGCCAATTCCACGCTCGCGCTCTTGCCCACGTGCCCCGCCACGTGGCACGAAACGGACGGAGCTGCTGCTGCAGTAAGCGATTTGGACAAATTTAAGCCGGCAAGAAGGCTGAGCAAGAGTTCGACGACTAAGGGCCTTGAGAAGCGGCGGAATTCCCGCCGCCTAATCAGAACGGCAAAAGCAGCGGGAGCGGCGGTTGCGGGGGAGGCGCTTGCGGACGGGGCTTTTGCCGACACGTTCGCGGCATTGGCTGGGGACGATTGGGTTCCGCAGAACGGTAACGGGGCGGCGCGCGGAAGCAGCAACGGGAACGGGCGGGGGCTGTGGGGAGGGGTGCGCGGGGGGGATGCTGCGGCGGGGAGGGGGGAGTGGCAGGCGGTGAGCCTGGCGGAAGCGCGGGAGATGGCGGAGCCGCCGTTCAAGGTGGCGGCACCGGGACAGCGGATTGTAGCGAGTGAGTATTCCTTTTCACGTGTCCTCATGGTCTCCCTTCCATCCCACCTTTATCCGAGAACGTGCACGGCGATCGCAATCAGACCGTAACGGCCACTTTGATTGAGAAGTTTTCGCTCCTCCCCCACTCTCCTTTTCCTCCCAACCCCCCCCCCCCACTCCCCTCTCCCTTCACATCAGTCGGCGACGTGCACGGCGACTGGGATCAGACCCTGGCGGCGCTGCGCGTGGCGGGCGTGCTGAACGCCATCTTCCAGTCCACCCCATGATCCACCCCCCAATCCAACCCGCTCTGTTTCCCCTCCCCCCTCCCTCCCTCTCCCCTCTCTTCCCACCGTTCCAGTCGGCGACGTGCACGGCGACTGGGATCAGACCCTGGCGGCGCTGCGCGTGGCGGGCGTGCTGAACGAGAAGGACGGCGTGAGCGACGACGAGATGTGGACGGGCGGATCAACGGTGAGGCGATGGGGGGCGAAGGGGAGATGGGGAAAGAGGGATAAGTGAGGGAGGTGGGGTATGGACCGCTTGGTTGGTTAGCGGGCGTGCTGAATGAGAAAAACAGCGTGAGCTACGACGAGGTGTGGACGGGCGGGTCCACGGTAAGTCGATGAGTTGAGGGATGGGCTGTTGCTGGGTTGTCCGTGCGTGATTAGTGCGGCGGAGGGAGGGGTCTGAGATGTGGGTTGAGAATGGAACGGGTTTGAGTGTGTGAAGGAATTAGAGTAACACAAGATTGGAGGTAAGTTGTGAAACGATCTCTACCACACAAGGATGAGTTGAGGATTGGACCTGATGTCACAGCAATTGCATGGGTTTGACTTCATGAATTGAGACGTTGCAAGACTAGATTATAACCGAAGGAAAAGGGCTCGAGTTCGGAGGCGTTTCAAACATGCCCACGGTTGCTGATATTGTCGGAATTATCTTGGATCAAAGCCTCACTCAAATCTCCCCGTTGGCTCTTTCATCTTGAGCTCGTCAATCGTCCACTCCACTCCCAGGCCCGCCTCTCTACTAATTATAGTCTGGATTAGCTTCTTACTATCCGTTTGCCTCACAAACCCACTGCTATGTTGACCCCTTGTACGCGTTGCCCCTTGCGCCCCTTGCGCGCCTTGGGCCCCTTGTGCGCCTTGTCCCTTTCGTCACCCCTTGTCCCCTTGCATCCTTTGCGTGCATTGTGCCCTCATATGCTGGTTAAGGCGGGAGACGTGTTGGACGATGATTAGATCATATTCGCCGGAGGAGAAAGATGCGCAGCTGGCGGAGAAGGATGCTCAGATGGCGCAAATGAGCGCTCTGCTGGTGCAGATGAGCGCTCAGCTGGAGAAGATGAGTGATGAGCTGGTGGAGAAGATGACTACCTGGCGAGGAGGGACGCGCAATTGGCGGAGAAGGGGCGCATCCTTCTCCGCCAGCTGAGCACTCAGCTCCACCAGCTTAGCGCTCATCTGTTTCAGCTGAGCGTTCAATTGTTCCAGCCGAGCGCTCATTTGCTCCAGCTCAGCGCTCATCTGCTCCAGCTCAGCGCTCATCTGCTCCACCTGAGCATCCTTCTTCGCCGGATTTTCTCGTCGCTCAGACACCTGGATTCCTGCGACTCGTCCCCTCTTTGTGCCCCTTAATCCCCTCACCTTCCCTTCGCTCCCCTTGCTGCCAGTCAACAGGTGCTGGTTCACGTGGGAGACGTGTTGAACCGTGGCGATGACGAGATTGCCTTTCTCCCGCTGCTCAGGCTCAGTCAGGCCATCCATCTTGTTTTGAGGCGCCTCAAAAGTCTTCTCCCGCTGCTCAGGCTCAGTCAGGCCATCCATCTTGTTTTGAGGCGCCTCAAAAGTCTTCTCCCGCTGCTCAGGCTCAGTCAGGCCATCCATCTTGACCCTTTCATCCCTTGCCCCGCTTGCCTCCCTTTGCTTCCGTTGCTCCTCTTGCTCCCCTCCAGGTGCTTGTCCAGGTGGGAGACGTGCTGGACCGTGGTGACGATGAGATTGCCATTCTCTCATTGCTCAGGCACCTGGACCGGCTGGCACAGCGGGAAGGGGGAGGCGTACTCATGGTGAGTCGAGGAGCAGGGTGTGTGGGTTTAGGGTTGGTTGGTTGGACAAATCGTGACTGTTGTGATGATGATGAGATTTCCATTCTCTCATTGCTCAGATACGTGGACCGACTGGGGCAGCGGGAATGGGGAGGCGTGCTCTTGGTGAAAAACAGTGGAGGGTGGTGATATATAGAGAAGTCGGGTGTGTGCTAGGGGGAAGATGCTCATAGTTAGAGGGGTCGTGTGAAGGGAGTGGGCGTCACTGTGGCGGCTGAAACAAAAAATAGTGAACGCAAGACAAACAAAAACATGGCGTGGGAGAAGAAGCTGCCAGATTGATTCGTGAGGGAAAAAATACCATGTGTGGTGGTGTGGTGTGCACGAATGAGTGTGATGAAGTGGAACAATATCTTATCACCACCACATCCTTTAGAAAACGCACCAATGACTGCAAGTTACTTTAACACTCTCACCGCTTCCCCTCCCTTCCCATCCACTCACTACTCCCCCCCTCCCCCCTCTCCCCCCCCCCCTCTCCCACTTCCCACCAGCTGAACGGCAATCACGAGACGACGAACGTCGCAGAGGAGTTTCGGTACGTGTCGGACGGGGGCTTCGAGGAGAGCGAGGACTTCTACTCACCTCCCTCCCTCCCTGCTCTCCCCTCACCCCTCCTTCCACCCTCCTCCCCCCCCCCCCCCCCCCCACACCAGTTGAACGGTAACCATGAAACGATGAACGTCGCAGAGGAGTTTCGGTACGTGTCGGACGGGGGCTTCGAGGAGAGTGAGGACTTCTACTCCTTCTGCCTCTCCGAGTGCGGCGGCGACTGGGACAGCGCGTTCCGCGTGTGGTGGCAGGCCTCCCAGCAGCTCAAGGCGTCTAAGAGGCGTCGAAAGGGGCCGTGGAACGGATGGAACCCCATTCAGGTACGAGGGAGGGCGTGCGGGGTGTTTAGTAGACTGGGGGTGTGGTGGGGGTGACTGGGAGAGTCCGTTTAGGGTGGGGTGGAACATGTACCCGACTGGCAGGCGTCTCAGGAGCTGAAGGCGTCCAAGAGGAGGCGGAGAGGGCCGTGGAACGGATGGAACCCCATTCAGGTGGGAGGATTGTGTGTGGCTTTCGTATGAGAAGGCGGTGGGGCCGACTGGGAGAGTGTGGTCAGGGTGCGGTGGCAGGCATCCCAGCAGCTGAAGGCGACTAAGAGGAGGCGGAGAGGGCCGTGGAACGGATGGAACCCAATTCAGGTGGGAATGAGGGTGTGTGAGGATGTGGGATCAAGGCGGACTGAGGTAGAGTTTTGAGGCGCCTCAAAAGGACTGAGGTAGAGTTTTGAGGCGCCTCAAAAGGACTGAGGTAGAGTTTTGAGGCGCCTCAAAAGGACTGAGGTAGAGTTTTGAGGCGCCTCAAAAGGACTGAGGTAGAGAGGTGTGTTGTGTAAGGGAGGGGTGTGGTGGCGACTGGGACTGGGCGTTCTGCGTGAGGTGGCCGGCAGGCGTCCCAGGAGCTCAAGGCATCTAAGAGGAGGCGGCGGGGCCGAGCCCATGGAATGGATGGAACCCCAGTCAGTTGGGAAGACTTGTGGATGGATGTGGCGTCTCAGGAGCGCCATTCTCTCCCCGCCTTAAAACCGCACATGGCACTTACACTTACCCACTGCCTTCTCACCCCTCCTCCCCCACCCCCACCACCCCCTCACCCCATCCTCCTCCCTCCCCCTTTTCATTCCAAGGAAGGTGGCAGGTGCAGGAGCAGCACGAGCTGTTTGAGGTGGGCTATGTGAGGTGAGACCTAACCCTGCCTTTCCTCCACCCCCCACCCCCTTTCCTCCACCCCCCACCCCCTTTCCTCCACCCCCCACCCCCTTTCCTCCACCCCCCACCCCCTTTCCTCCACCCCCCACCCCCTTTGCTCCACCACCCACCCCCTTTGCTCCACCACCCACCCCCTTTGCTCCACTCATGCCTTTCATTACCTACAGGGACAGCGGCAGGTGCGGGAATGGCATGAGCTGCTCGAGGTGGGCTATGTGAGACCTAACCCTGCCTTTCCTCCTCCACCCCCTTTCGTTTCCCTGCAGGGTCAGCGGCAGGTGCGGGAGCGGCACGAGCTGTTTGAGGTGGGCGGGCCGATGGCAGCAGAGGTGTTCGATATGCTGCTTAACCTTTGCTCTACCCCCCTCCCGCCCCCCTCTTCCCACTCATGCTCCTGCTTTTCTTGCAGGGCCAGCGGCAGGTGCGGGAGCGGCACGAGCTGTTTGAGGTGGGCGGGCCGATGGCAGCAGAGCTGGCGCGGAACAATGCTGCTCTCATGGTCAACGACACCCTGTTTGCACACGGGGGCATCCTGCCTCACCATGGTGAGTGGAGTGCGGTGCGGTGTGGTGTGGTGATGTGCATGTGGATGTGGATGGTCGTTAGTGTGGCAGCAGAGCTGGCGAGGAACAATGCTGCTCTGATGGTCAACGCCACCCTGTTTGCACACGGGGGCATCCTGCCTCACCATGGTGAGAGGAATTTGGGTTCATTGTGCGGCGAGTTAGCAGCATGAGAAGCCGATTAACGGCGCTGAGGTAAACTGGCAAGGGATGGGATGGGGCTGCACTTGTATGGGGAGGGGCTACATGGACAGAACTTGTATGGGGAGGAACACCTCTCAACTGGCAAGGGATGGGATGGGGCTGCACTTGTATGGGGAGGGGCTACACTTGTCTTGTATGGGGAGGGGCTACAGAGCAACACACCCGTTTTGTCCGAGGTGAGTTTTGAGTCGACTTATAAGTCACCTCTCAACTGGCAAGGGATGGTATGGGGCTGCAGCACTTGTACGGGGAGGGGCTACAGAGGAACACGCCGTTTTGTCCGTTTAGCAATTAAAGCCCACATCTTCACACCAAGGCAAGTTAGCAATTTAATGTTGCCGGTACCTCTTCTAACCCCCCTTCTAGACTCATCCACCGCACAGTACCCATCCGTACTGTATGGATGGGTTACGGGTATAGACTTCCCTCTACCTCGCTCTCTCCTCCTTCTGACCCCCCTTCTCCTCCCCGCCCCCCGGCCCCCTCCAGTGGTGTATGGGCTGCCGCACGGCGCATGAACCGCTTTCTCCTACTTCCCACCAACCCCCCCTTCAGTGGAGTATGGTTTACCGCGCATGAGCCGGGAGCTGTCGCAGTGGATGCGCGGCGAGGAGGTGTGCAGCGAAAGGGGATAGAGTCGCATGCTTACATCTCCCTTTCTCTGCCTTTCCACCTGCTACCCTCCCCCTCCTCCCCCCTCCTCCCCCCTCCTCCCCCCTCCTCCCCCCTCCTCCCCCCTCCTCCCCCCTCCAGTGGAATACGGCCTGCCTCGCATGAACCGGGAGCTGTCGCAGTGGATGCGCGGCGAGGAGGTGTGGGGCGAGGGGGGGCGCACCCCGATGCCGTTCATCGTGACGAGGGGCTATAACAGTGTGGTGTGGACTCGGCTGTACTCTCAGGAATACCTGGGGTCTGGCGAGGACAAGTACAAGGTGAGGATGGGTTCAAAGTGATGTGAGGGCAAGTACAAGGTGAGGATGGGTGCATGGTGTTGAAGCGCTCGGAATGGGTGCAGCCCGATGCTTCATTGTGTTGTGACGCGGGGCTTCAACAGTGAGGTGTGGGCTTGGCTGTACTCGCAGGAATACTCGAGGATAAGTACAAGGTGAGGATGGGTGAACGGTGAGTGAGTGCAGGGTGCTATGAGGCAGGGAGAAGCAGGTGAGAGCAAAGTGCAAGAGTGGCAAGAGGCTTCAACAGTGTGGTGTGGACTCGATTGTACTCACAGGAATACCTGGGGTCTGGAGAGGACAAATACAAGGTGAGGATGGGTTTAAAGCGATGTGAAAACTGGTACCAAGTGAGGTGCAGTGCAGACATGTAGAAGCAAAGTGAGGACGAGCACAACATGGCATAGATCCTGTCCTCACATGCACTAAGTGCAGTGCACCATTCTGTCTATTTCTTACCGCCTCAACCGTGCCCCATTCCCGCTTCCCGCGCCCACGCAGATCTGCACTGTGCTGGCTGCTTCGCTGGACACAGTGGGGGCAAAGAGGCTTGTTGTGGGGCAGCTTCTGAGTCAACTCACAAAGTCACCTCAAGTGTGCCCCATCCACTCGTCCCGTGCCCACGCAGATCTGCACTGTGCTGGCTGCTTCGCTGGACGCAGTGGGGGCAAAGAGGCTTGTTGTGGGGCACACACCGCAAGTGGGCGGGGCTAACGGGTGAGTAGTTGCTTGTCTTTTTCCACACGTCTGTACTCTCTATTCTGAAGAGTGGGTGGGTCACCCACCTGCTGCATGTGTACGCTTTCTTTGAAGCGAGTCCCAGCGGATTGACACTAGTGCAGTATGTTAACCTGTTGTATCCATCCCTTCCTTGCTGCCTCGTCTTCTCGCCCGCCTCTCGTGCGTGTAGGGAGTGCGGGGGTAGAGTGTGGCGCATCGACGTGGGCATGTCATCAGGCATGCTCAACGCCCCACCCCAGGTATGCACCCTCCTCCATGCATTTGCATTACACATCATCACCTGCATCCCACATCATCGTCTGCACCCCACACCCACTTTAAATTGCCAATCTCCTGGCATCCCTCATGGCCTTCCTTTTTACAGCTTGCATGCTTTTCTTCTGTTTTTTTCTCAGCATTCAGGTCCTTCCCCTTCCTGTTGCCCCCTCTACCCGCCCATAGGTTCTGGAGATTGTGGGGGACTCTGTGCAAGTGCTGGGTGCGCGCACCACAGACGGACTGGCTGCCATGCGCGTCAGAAGATGAGGTGGTGATTGGACGATGGAATACGACAGCCATGGATTTGTTTAAGGCACCTCAGAGTCGCTTGGTGCACATAAATGAAGAGTGCAGGCGTGCTCACGGGTGGTGGGAATCTGCAGCACCATATCACGTGGTGGTTCCATGAAAAGGGTTACAGTGCACAGTTGCCCTCTGTTTGTACACCATTTTATTTGGACAGCGGGTTGTTTGCTGCTGCAAGAGGGAGTGCCTTGCTTTGACGATTAGACGGGGATGGCAAATTAGACTAGCCTTCAATTCGCTCTACAACAGACATTGCTGGGTTCTTATTTTTGCCCTGATGTTGAACATGTACGGTAATGTATTTGCATCCAGGAATGAACAATTGATGCTTCACTGGTTTACCATGCTGGGTACCGTGCAGGGCCTCAGAAGTCAGCGAAAAAAGGCTGATTTAGGGTCTGGACGCTGATTTCCCAGACATATGGCTGATGTGTTGGCTAATAATTCAGTTTTTTTTTAATTGTGCTGGCTGATTCTTCAGGTTTTTTGTTTAAGTACGGTATTGGCTGGTTTTCCAGCGTTTTTTTACAAGTGTCCGCTGATTGATCAGACTTGTAACGAGAGTGTAGGCTGAACTCACGCTATTACAGATTCGTGCCGGAGCCGTGTTTTTCGGCTGTCCAGGTACATCCACCGTCAATCACGCAAACGTTGCCACGTACAGCGCCGACACGGCGGGAAAACGAATTTCCCCAACGAGTCGGTTGCTTCGTTGTCACCGACAGAATGCTTCAATTGATGTGATTGGTTGTTTAACCAATCACATCCCTTATGCGCCATTCACCAACCACCAGGGCAGCACAGCACAGCACCTGCTAAACTTAATGAACAAAGTGCTTAAACATAGATCAGCCTGCGTTTTTTAGTGAGGCTGATTAGTCAGCGTTTTTTTAGGTGACTTGTCTGAAAAATCAGATTATTTTTTTTGAACCAACTCTGATTGATCAGCCTAGCGTAGCCTGCTAAGGCTGACCTCTCAGCCAAGCTAAAAACGAATCTGAGGCCCTGGTACCGTGCTTATTTTTGCGTTGCCTTTATGTTGAACATGTGATGTACTTGCATCCAGGATTGAACAAGTGGTGCTTCACTGTTTCACCATGCTGGGTGTCCATTGACAGCTAAGGACGCGTCACCTTTGTTCGAACCTGGCACCAATCCTGCGCAGGATCGTCTTTTAGCGGGTATAAAATGGAAAAAAAAAAAAACGAAGGGTTTCTCTTTTAGGGCGAAAAACCCTTCTTTTTTCCCTTTTTATCCCCATTACGAAACGATCCTGCGTAGGATTGGTGCTGGGATCGAACAATCGATCGCAGGATCACCAGGAAAAACCGATCGGGCATACTGATCGCAGGTTTGGGACACGATTGGTGGGAGGTGACAGCTGAACATCGATCGCAGGTTGGTTTCGAGCCCTGGGTGACGCGTTTGGTATTGCGCCAGGGGACATGGTTGGGCGAAAGTATGCAGCACTGTCGTTTGGATGGTTTGCGATAAAAAACATGAGACTATCCAGGTAACCCTGCAAACTGTGCGACGGCGATCGATTTTGCCTGTCACTTAGAGCGCGAGCTTGGAGCTCACGCAAAATCGGTGTGTGTATGATGATGTTGTCAAGTATAATTCTATGCTTGTAGGCTACAGTGAGTAGCACAATAGGGAGTACACTTGTTAGGGTTGCATATTTGTACTCTCACACTTTCTAGTTTCCACCATTCCGTTGCATTCCTATTCTAAGATGGTATCACGAGTAGGTTAGATCCTCGTTCGTTTTTAGCTAGCCTCCGCACCCTACGCGCCCTCCGTGCTCTCGCGCCCTCCGTGCCCTCCGCGCCCTCCGCGCCCTCTTCGCGCCTAGCCCGCGCCCTCCCGCGCTGTCCAGCCTGTCGCGCGCCCTCCTTAGACCTCCGCGCGCCCTCCCTTACTGTCGCGCGCCCTCCTCAACCATCGCGCGCCCTCCTTAGACCGTCGCGTGCCCTCCCCTCCGCCTGTCGCGCGCCCTCCTCCGTCATCGCTTCCCGCACACCAGCGTGCGCTTACCGCACTCCTGCGTGCACTTACCGCACACCTGCGTGCGCTTACCACACACCTGCGTGCACTTACCGCATCACTCTGTGTGCGCTTCCCGCACACCTGCGTGCGCTTCCCGCACACCTGCGTGCCCTTACCGTACACCTGCGTGCACTTACCGCACACCTGCGTGCGCTTACTGCAGACCTGCGTACACTTACCGCATCACTCTGTGCGCTTACGGTATCTCTCTCCCCTTCACCTGTGCACCGGTCCCACGCCATTCCTACTGCACTTGGCTCCCGGCTCAGCGGCTGGCAGCCGCTCTTCCCTCCGGTAGCGCCACCTAGGTTCGGTTAGAGCCCCGCCCCACCACTATTTTCTCGCCGACTGTCTCTCGTCGTTTTCCCCGCTGGCGTCCCTAGCCCTCCGTAGTTTTCCTCCTCGTTCTTAGCTTCGCCTCCGCCGTACTCCAGTCGCCTCTAGCATGGGCTCCGCTATGGAGGCCCGTCGCCTCCGTTTCGATGCTGAGGGATGCTCGATCGAGTTTGGTACCTGGCAGCGCCAGACCACACGTTTCCTCACCAGCCAGCGTCAGGACGGCGCCACTCTGTGGGCCCACGCGTCGGGTGCTCTCGCGGCACCTCCGTCCCCCGCCGCCCTGCCGACCGCCCCGGAGCCGACTCCTACGGCCCAGGCGGACTACGACCGTCGGGTCCTGGCTCGGGACGTGTGGCTCTCTCGTGACGCGGCCGCCGCCTCACACTATCGGAGCTTCTCCCCCCGACTGAGGCCGCTCACTTTGACCAGGTGGAGATAGCCAAGGGGGTTTGGGATGCTATTGTGGCTCGCTATTCCATCCCCTCCTCCGCCTCCCTCAGTCGCCTCCTTATGCCGTTCGTGTTTCCCGACCTAGGCTCGTTTGCGACTGTTTCCGACCTAGTGACTCACCTTCTCTCGCTTGATGTCGGTTTTCGTTCGGCCTGTACCGACGCACAGCTCCTTGTTGCCCCCCCCCCCCCCATATGGCTCACTGTGCACTGGTTAGTCACCCGCCTCCCTGACCGCCTTGCCACTGCCCGCGACGCGCTTCTTTAGAAGCACCCCACTGAACTCACTATAGACCTCCTTCAGACTGCTCTCGGGACCATCGAGAGCAGCCTCCTCACTGTTGCCTCCGCCACTTATGCGGTGGCCCCCCGTCTCTTTGCGGGGTGTGCCGCCCCTCAGCTTCCCACTTTCACCGCTTCCCGCGCTTCTGCTGCTGTGTCGGTCTCTGCGGACACCGCTGCCATTTCTGCCACAGAATGGCAGAAACGGGGCAAGAGTGGCAAGAAGGGCGGGAAGGGGGGAGGTGGGGGCGGAGGAGGTGGCGGTGGAGGTGGGAGCGGCGGTGGTGGTGGAGGCAGCGGCGGCGACGGCGGCGGTGGTGCACCAGGGGGAGGGGGCCTTGGAGGAGGCGCACGACAGACAGGTCCACCCACAAGTGGTGGCCCGACCGGTGGGGGTGCTGCCCCCCAGCAGCAGCAGCCACAGTAGCACCAGCCACAGCAGGGACAACAGCAGCAGCAGGGACAGCAGCAGCAGGCACCGCAGCAGTTCCAGCAGTGGGGGCCCCCGCTGCAGTGGGGTCCGCAGCAGCACTGGGGTCCCCCGCCGCAGTGGGGTCCAGGAGACCCTGGGAGCACCAGCCGCAGCAGCAGCTCTTCCAGCTGGGCCCCTCGCCCCCCTCGCCGTGACGCTGGCCCCTGCACCCACTGGTGCCTCACCGAGCCGGACAGCCCCTGTCTCTGTGGTCGCGGCAACCACTCTGCCGCGCGGTGCTTCCGCCGCCTCGACAACCTCTACCGGGCTCGTTGGGGCCCCCTGGCGGTCACGCCTCGCTGGTCTCGTCAGTTAACCCGTAAGATTGATATCTTTGATATGTCCATGGACGATGCGCGTCAGCATGCTTTGTATGATGATGCTGACTTTAGTGCTGAGGGATCTGTGTGCTCGCGTGCTCGTAGTTTAGCCTGCTTGCCTCCTGCTAGTGTAGCCTTGTGCTTGTCTAGCTTAGGTGCTTGTGTTGCTACTCTAGGTGATTGTGTAGCGACTGGGTCAAGTGACCCTCCGGCTGAGGCCTCTCTGTCGTTCACGCTGGACTCGGGCGCGTCTCAGTGCTTCTTCCGCGACCAGACGACCCTTACGCCACTTCTCACTCCTATGTCAGTGGCTCTGGCTGATCCTACCTCTGGACCAGCCGTTGCGCGTAGCTCCACCACCCTCCCGTGCCCTGTGGTCCCCTCTGGTGTCCTGCGCGGCCTCCACATCCCCTCGTTCACTCGGAACTTGGTGGGTGTTGGATACCTCCAGGACAGGGGGATCACGGTTACCTTTGTGGGGGGTGGGCGGACAGCAGTCTGTACAGACGCTACCACAGGTGCTGTTCTGGCCACGTTCACCAGGGAGCCCCGCTTTGGTCTCTACGTTCTCCACACCGAGCGCTCCCCGGTTGCGTCCTCCCCTCAAGTCGTTGCGTCCCCTCCGGCCCAGGTCCCCAGTCCAGTTGCGGTGTCTAGCCAGGTAGTCGTGTCCGGTCTGGTCGCTGTGTCCAGTCCAGTCGCTGCGTCTTGCTCCTGTCGCTCTTTAGCCCACCGCACCATCCTGTGGCACCACCGCCTTGGCCACCCGTCGATCCCTCGCCTTCGTGGCATGCTCAGTCAGGGACTTGTCACAGGTCTCCCATGCACCTTCCTGTCGCTCCCTCCCTCGCTTGCCCCTCCTTGCTCTCCGTGCGTCGCCGGTCGCTTACGCGCCACTCCCCACTCCTCCCTTCGTCCGGCCACCGCTCCCTTCGAGACTCTCCACTTGGACGTCTGGGGCCCTGCCCCGACGCAGGGGTCTGGGAGGGAGCGTTACTTTCTGGTGGTCGTCGACGACTTCTCCAGGTACACCACAGTGTTTCCCTCTTG